CTGGGCTAGGATGTCCTCTCCCAGCAGGCCACCCAGATGGAAAGCCATAGTGCCCCTGGAGGGGGAGCCAGGGGAGCCAGCCATTGGCAGCAATGTTAAAGAGTATCAAATGCTGCCAGCCTTCTGGACTTGCCTCAGATTGGGCTGTGCCCCTTTCCTCCAGATGGGACTGGTGTGGGTACCATCAGCATTTACTTCTCTGGCTGGCCTTTCTCCCTTCGAATGCTGTGCATTGATTGGGTTTTCATATGTTAGTGCCATCAGTCTGGCCTTTCTGGCCTCTGTTTCTTCCTTCCTTCCTTCCTTCCTTCCTTCCTTCCTTCCTTCCTTCCTCCCTTCCTTCCATGTTTATTTAATTTTGAGAGAGAGAGAGAGGCACAGAATCCAAAGCAGGCTCCAGGCTCTGAGCTGTCAGCACAGAGCCTGATGCGGGGCTCGATTCCATGAGCCGTGAGATCATGACCTGAACCGAAGTGGAATGCTTAGCTGACTGAGCCACCCAGGCGCACCTGTTCTCTGTTTCTTACAACATCTCTTTCTCTATCCGTTCTGGGCTGGCACTTCTTTCTCTTTTTTTTTTTTTAATGTTTGTTTATTTTTGAGAGAAATAGCATGAGTGGGGAAGGGGCAGAAAGAGAGGGAGACACAGAATCCGAAGCCGGCTCCAGGCTCGGAGCTGTCAGCACAGAGCCAGACGTGGGGCTCAAACCCATGGACTGTGAGATCATGAACTGAGCCTAAGTCAGACCCTTAACCGACTGAACCACCCAGGTGTCCCTGGGCTGGTACTTCTGAACTCCTGGTTCTCAGACTACTCCCTGATTCTCATTACTGTTGGTGATTATAGACCCTCTCAGTGTTGTTTTATTGGGGACACACCATGCTCATTGCTCTGTCTTGGTTAGTTTCCTGAATCTCTACCACCACTCTCAGAGGGAGGGAGGAGTATCTCCATTTTACGGATGAGGCGACTGAGGCTCAGAGCATTGAAGTCACTTGCCCATGGTCACAGAGTGAGCCAGTGGTGGAGCCAGGCTTCAGGTCTGATCTAAGTCTGCCCCCTGCGCTGGTATCCTGTGGGGTGTCCATGAGATGATGGTGTGTTGAATCCCTGACCCTGGGCCTGGCCTGCAGCGGTGCTTAGTGATGGGAGTCTTGCCCTTTCCATCAGAGTAATGCTTACGACTCTTGCAAGGCTGCCTGCCGCACCCCCCCAGTTCCCTCACTTCTCCCCATCTCCAACCTGTTCCACCTGCCAGGCTGTTTGGAGCTCACCTTTTATAGGCTTCTTGTTCTGAGGTGTCAGGATGTCAAAGCCTCCTCTCTGTCCTCCGCACAGCCCTCCTTGTTCCCCATCTCTGGACATTTGCCTACTTGGTGACTCAGCCCAAGTGCCCTCCCTGCCATACCCATAGTTCTCCCTTTTTGCAAAACCTAACTCCACTCCCTACCCTGTAAGCCTTTTTTTTTTGGGTACTCTAGGTCATACTCCCAATTGCCAACTCCCCAGAATCTTCTAGAGGCTGACACATACACCAATAAATCTAAATCACATCCTGCCTGGGTGTTTAGCCATTTTCTGGGTGAGCATCACACTCCTGTGTTGCAGTGAGATCCAAGGAACCAGCACATGCTTCCCTTGGGGCCCCCCGCAGTGCCCAGAGGGCTCCCGTAGTCTCTGCTGGCCTGGGTCTGGGCAGAACTGTGCCCACGTGACTGGCCCTGGCAGAAGCCAAGGCCAGGTTCCTGGCTTGCTTTCTGTGGCCTAGTGAGAGAACCATGCTGTTATCCTTGGACTTGTCAAATAAAGAAGGATCTCATCATAGGCTTAAATAATAATAATAATAATGTTACTTTTAAATTCATAAAAATTTTAAGTTTAAGCAGACTTTGTCTTCTTCTCATCTTGTCATACCAAGCCCCATGCATTGGAATATTTTATTTTTTAACCTCTAATTTTTTTTTAAATCAAGAAATCTCCAAGTGTAATAGAAAAATTGAGAATCACAGTTAAACAGAAAGAAGGAAAAATAATCTGTATTCCTGGCATCTAGAAACAACTATAATTAATACTTTGTTGAATATTCTGCGTCTATATAGATGTATTCATCAAAATCGGGTCAATCTGTACAAGCTGCTGTGGATCAAGCTTGTCATTCAGACATTTCCATGATCTTTTACATCATCTTTTTTTTACTCTGTAGAAAGCATGAGCCATCATTTATCTAACCAGGCCTAGGCCGTGGGGTTGTTGGTGGGGCTCATGCCACCTGTTTGGCTCCCAGCCTGGGCTAGAGTGCTTTCTCCTTCCAGTTGATTCTGTTCAAGTTTGCTTGAGGCAGCAGAGTGAGGTGGGAAGAATAATGGCCGCAGCGCTCGGATCTGGAGAGACAGGAGGCTGGATGGGAAGGAGAATGGGTGGGAGGGACCAGGGAAGATCTGTCTGCCTGTCAGTCATTCAAGTCTCTTTTGCTGTCTGAGTCTCACCTGGAAAAGAAGAGATTGAAAGACTTCCTCCTCCTCTCATGTGTGGTGCTGTTAGCACCAAGCATTCCCAGCCAGCAGGTCGTGCTGGAGAGCTGGGCAGGGGAAGAGCTCAGATATTTATTTAAGACTGCTGTCCTGGCTGTTTGATGCAGGTCCCGAGAAGGTTCAGGGAGTACAGTCTGAAACCAGACTGAAGTGGAGGGGAGGAGTAGATGCGCCAGAGCCTCTGGGCTGCCTGGGGCCTATGAAGGTCATGTGGAATCTGCTTCTCACAGCAGAAAGCCTACAGCTTAGTCTGTAGATTTTTTAAAAATCTTTACTTACTTTTGAGAGAGAGAGAGAGAGAGAGAGAGAGAGAGAGAGAGAGAGAGGCGGAGTGCCGGCGGGAGAGGAACAGAGAGAGAAGGAGACACAGAGTCCGAAGCAGGCTCCAGGCTCTGAGCTGTCAGCACAGAGCCTGACACAGGGCTCGAACTCTCAAACTGTGGGATCATGACCTGAGCCAAAGTCAGACACTTGACTGACTGAGCCACCCAGGCACCCTGTAGATTTTTTTTAATGCAAAATTAAGTAGTAAATTTGTTTTAAGGGTTCTTCTTACAGACCTTACCTAGCATAATGGCTGATATCCTCAAGTGCAGGTCTAGAAGAGATCTAGACCCAAGCAGACAAGTCTTATTCTGACCCTATGATGCCATGAGCTCTCCTGGAGCTGCTTCTATTACTTTGTGTCCTGACACAGAGTTGACACTTGGTGTCACATAAGTGACAGAGAGCCTTTATTTAACTGTGGCTTTAAGGTGAGCCACAAAGCCCAGGGTAATGACATGAGTGGAAAGCATTTCTGGGTGGGGATGAGACAGTGTGACCAAGGCCTTCCCTTCCTCCTCATCTTACTTCTTAATAGCAGCATCAGTAACAACAAACCCTTTCATTTGTGCTACAAGTTATAGCTTATAAAGTGTGACCTGTTCAGGGCCCTAGAGCTCTTGTCTGGCCTAGTGGGGCACGCAGAGCCCCTGGCTTTCTGTCCAATACCCTTTGCTTTGGGCTGGGCTGATGCTTTCTGAATGTTGGGAGAGAAGCTGAAGGAGAAGAAGGGAGTGTGGGGTAAGGGCTTAGAGCATGTGCATAGCACAAGGTAGGGCCAATGTCCGTCTGTCTCTCTGCTCATTGGAGGCCTCCCATGGTGGATGGGTTTGGGAAGAGACCTGCCAGGTGTAATCTGAATCTTTCTCATTTAATATAATGGAATTAGAAGGAGGCTCTAGACTCAAGGGTGAGGGTTACTGCCCATTTCTCTGTTCCTCGGGTTTTGGCTCAAACTTTTTTTTTTTTTTTTTTTGAGGATCCACTCTGATTGGGGTCAGGAATAGGTGCTTTTGCCACATTTAAAAAAAACCCAATTTGTGAGTTAAAAATATATGTATGTTTAAAATTATACAAGAATTCCAAAGCACATAAAGTAAAAAATGAAGTTCTCTTTTTTATCCCACCCTGTAGAACTCCCACTTTTTCCTTTATCCGTTTCTCAATTATTAACCTGTCTTAACATTTTGGTCAGTATCCTTTCAGATCTTTCACTACATGTATATAAACAAAAAGAGGTATTGTTGAGGTTATTGTTTTTTTTTTTTAATATAAAAATGGGACCATGCCGTTCTTTCTCTTTTCCTCTCCTTGCAGTTTGCTTTTTCTAACAGAATAGCTGGGCAATAGGTCCCTGATTCTCTGAAATCTCATTTCCTGCTCCAAGGGGAAAAGGGTTAAGAGTAGCCTTGCCTCAGAGATAATTTCTTTAAGTCCTTTGCTTTTTGGGTGAGTCCTAGTAAGATGAAGTGACTGCCCCGTTTGTGGCAGACCTGGGGCCTGTGCTCAGTTCTCCTGACTTTTACATCATCAGGGCTATGTGTTTTTGTAATAGTGCCCTCCTGTCTTATCCTTGAGATCCATTCTGTCAACATCCCTGTGGAGAGAGTGGTGTAGGAATTATTGAGGCTTGGGGCATGAAGAGACTTGCTCAGAGTCCGTGCTGGAAGGGCCTGGAGCCCAGGGCTCTTTTGGTTGAGTTCAGTTTATCCACCGTTTATTGAGAGGCTGCTGTGTGCCAGGTGCTCCCGTTGGAGAGACAGCCTGGCCGAGGGCCTGCCTGGAGGGGGTCACTGACTAGCCTTTGTGCTCTTGGCAGAGTGGGGTTCCCTGGAGAGACTCTTCATTGCCCTGAAGAAGGGCCCCCTTCCAGAACTGGGCCAAGAGACAGGAGGAGTCCCTGAGGAGCTATATGGTCGCTAGAGTGGGAGGGGGTCTGTGACCTCAGCTCTCTTCCCATCCCCACTTCCTCTGTCTCTTCCTGCCTCCCTCCTTCCTTCTCTCTGTGGCTCTTTGTCCATTTGTCTCCATCTGTCTTTCTCTGCATGTGGTTCCTGTCCCCCCTCTCTATTCTGTCACACCATCGCTGCCCCTTTCCCCTGTCATGTGCTCTCCTTCATGCAAATGCAGGTGTGCTGGTCACCATGACAACAGAGACAGGCCCGGATTCTGAGGTGAAGAAGGCTCAGGAGGAGACCCCACAGCAGCCTGAGGCAGCCGCTGCGGCGACCACCCCTGTGACCCCTGCAGGCCACGGCCACCCCGAGGCCAACTCCAATGAGAAGCACCCGCCCCAGCAGGACACTCGGCCTGCTGAACAGGTGTGTGCCTGAGAGCATGGGTATCCCTCTTCCTGCCCAACAGGAATCCAGAGCCAGTTCTTAGTGGGGAGGGAAGAAGGAAACTGAGATTTATTACTGACCCGCTACGTTCCAAGCACTGTGCTAGGGGCATCGTGTTCACTTTTATATTTAATTCTCCCAAACCTACAGAGAGTGTATGTACATATACATATACATATACATATACATATACATATACATACACACACACATACATATATATTCAAATATATATATACACACAGATATATATATACACACACATACATATACATACATATACATACATATATATATACACACATACATATATACACACACACACATATAATACATATATTTTAATTAAGTTAGCACTACACCCAACATGGGGCTTGAACTCATGACTCTGAGATTAAGAGTCATATGCTCTACCGATTGAGCCAGCCAGACACCCCTAAGAGAATAATATTAATTGCCATATTTTACACTTGGGGAAATGGTGGCTCAGCAGATGATGTGAGTTACTCAAGGTCATGTTGCTGGGTGATGGGTGGACGTAAAACCTAGATCTGGTTTCCAAAACTTGTGTTCTTTCAACCTTATTTTCCTATTCCCTGAACCTGTCCATTCTAGCCTGGCAAGCCCAGTATAACCCCAGGGCAAAATCCATTACCCTGAAGGGACAGGGGACCTACTGAATCACCTAGCTGTCGAATTCACACCCCCCTTCATTCACAACAGGCCAAGAGGGTAGGAACTTGGCCAAGGTCATTGAGGGCATTGGTGGCAGTTAGGCCTGGCTGGCAGGCCCTTCCCTCCATTAGGTCAGTCCACAAGCTCTCAGCCTCATGCTAGACCAGTGACAGTCTGATAAGGAGGAGGCCAGATGGATGCTCTGATAACTCGCATGCTATTTTAGGGAGATAGGGCAGCCCTGGTCACCGGCTTTGGTTCTGTGGGATGCCTCCCTCCACCCGAAGAAGTGGACCCCTTCCATGAGCCTACTCTGTTGCATATAGTAGCTCTGGCTTTCCTCCTGCGTATACCTGCTATAGCTACTGGCCACCCTGGGGGTCTTGGAGGGCAGTGGCTCTCATTTTGGGGGCCATCTTAGCCCCAGCTGCTGCATTGTTATTGTGTCTCTTTTGGATGAAAGGCTGTGGTCTCAAGCTCACTGACCAGACTTTTCCCCTGGTTGGACCTACAGAGCCTAGACATGGAGGAGAAGGGCTATGGGGAGGCTGATGGCCTGTCAGAGAGGACCACACCCAGCAGAGCCCAGAAATCACCCCAGAAGATTGCCAAGAAGTACAAGAGTGCCATCTGCCGAGTCACCCTGCTTGATGCCTCTGAGTACGAGTGTGAAGTGGAGGTAAGGAGCACACACCACATGCCCTACCCCAGCCGACTGGCCCCAGAGCCAGGGTGAGCTTCTGTGTGCCCTCAGCCTGGGCCAAGCCACAGAGCATCCATTCTTCATGGAGTCCTGGACCGACTGCAGCATCCTGGAGAGATGACCTGGCCAGCCCTCCTTTGTACAGATGGTGGCACCAAGGCCCGGAGAGGGCAGTTACAATTGCAAATAGAATTAGACGAGGCACAGGGCTGGCGCCAGAAAACAGCTCTGTGGGTGGCGGGGAGGGGCTGTACTTTGGCAAGGAGTCCCCATCCAAGGGCCAGTAGGCCTGTGGACTGGGCTCTTCAGTCTCACCTAGCAGACACTGGTGTTTCAACTAGAGTCATTTTTATGTTTTTATTGGGTGGAGGGAGGGGTCTTCCTTTGTGAATGCCCCTCTCCAGGGCACCAGGACAGACTGGTCACTTGAAGGTTCCGTGGTATAGGTGTCCCCCAGACATGGAGAGGCTGCCCATAGAAGGACTTCCTCACCTAGGCCATGTAGAAACTGTGTGGCATGATCCTGTCCCACAGTGGGTGGGTGGGGCAGACACCTCCTGTCTGGGATCAGCCTTCCTGGCCCCACATTTGTCATCTCCCTTTCCTGTATAGGCTAGGACTCCCATCCTAATCCTGAGCTCTCACTCATCCCCTTAGAGGGTCCACCCCAGTCTGGGCACCATTCCTGGCTCTCTCCATGTGTATGAAAGAGTCCAGAGAGTGGCCTTACTGCTGAGAGTTACAGGAACCACCTCCCTTTCTCCAGTGCCCCCGGTCTTAAGGGGCATGGCTTATTTCTGGGCCCTGGTAGACTGGGTCCCTCTTCTCTGCAGGGTTGTTTTGTATTTATTTGTTTGTTTATTTAATGTTTATTTCTTCTGTAGAAGGATTACAAGGTGAACATCTTGCCTATTCCTGGGCAAAAGAAAGGGATATATTCCGCCTGTTCTCTCCTACCCACACTGGCCCAAGATGCAGTTTCAGCTTGTCCCAGGAGGGCATGGAGGGTTTGGCTGAGGCCAGGTCCATTCTATCTGAAGGACTCTTCCAGACTCAGGAATCCCTTAGCTTCCCCAAACTACTCTCCAGAGTTGGGCCCAGTCCCAGTCCCCTGGTGATCTAGCCAGACAGTTCAGGGACCTCACCCTCTCTCTGGAGTCCCTTCCCTCTTTAAATAGTGACTGATTCATGTTATCCCAGCCTGTAATCCTTTTACTGGTGCTCATCTGTGGGTTTGGAGTACCCAGCCAGGTTCTGGGCTTTGTCCTGCTGAATCCTCAGGCCCAGACAGTGGTTCAGCGAGGTACTGAGCCTGGCTGTGTGGGAGTGCGGGAGGAGGTGGCTCTAACCGTGCTGCTCCCAGCTGAGGCTGCTGTAGGCCCCGGGAGCCCCTATAAAAACCTTACTTGCTGCCTGGGTAGAGGGTGGCATTCCAGGCTGGGCTGCCCTGGATGTCACTCAGACTTAGTGTAAGGGGAGGGTCAGGGAAGGAGAGTCACACTGTGACCCTGAGTCCTAGACCCTTCCCTTCTCCCCTGCCTGTGTCCCTTGTATTTCAGGTGGTTTTTCTCTTCCTCTTACAACCACAGCTTGGACTTTTGGCTTTTCTGTTCCTTGGGTCAAAGTTAGCCTCCTTCTCTTAATCTCAAAGGAGGAGGAATCAGTCACCCCCACCCCCACTCCCCAAAGCCGGCCTAAGGTCTAGGAGAAACCCAGCAGGGCTTGGAAGAAGGCAGTTGGTGAGCTGGGCGTTAGTGTCACAGGATCCAGTAGGACTCGGGGAGCAGAGTCAAATGGGTGGTGGGAGTGCTGAGGTTGTCTTCAGATGCCGGAAGGCTCTTGGGGGTTCCAAGCCTGCCCTGGTGGAACCCCCCCCCTTGAGGTATGTCCTGGCCTCATAGCGACTCTGCTCTCTTCTTCAGAAACATGGCCGGGGACAGGTGCTGTTTGACCTGGTCTGTGAGCACCTCAACCTCCTGGAGAAGGACTACTTCGGCCTGACCTTCTGTGACGCTGATAGCCAGAAGGTACCTGTGCTGGGAAGCAGGGTGCTGTGCGGGGGTGGGGGTGGGGACCTCTTCTTTTAGGCCCCCATAGTCCTGCCTGCATCCCACTCCTTCCATCAGTCCTTAACTTCTCATTAAGTGCCTTCCGTTTGCATGCACCCAAGGTTCAGCCAGCCCTTTCTGCCTCAGTTCTCTGTCTCTACCCCTCCCACCAAGTCCTTTCTTGGGGACCTGCAAGTGACCCCCCCCAGATGCATACCTGGAGAGCCATGGCCTGGCTTCCTGGGGGACCTGAGACACTTATCCCAGTACCTCTTCCCCACCTTGGGAGGCTCCTATCTGAGTTTTCTTCCTTTCCACCTATCCCACTGCAGCTGCAGGGACCTGCTCACCCTGCTGCCTCAGAGCAACACCAGCCGTGGATCCAGGGTCCCAAGCCCGGTGGTGAATGGAGATCTCATTCCCTCACTTTCCAGCTCCAAAGGGCCCAGACTGCTCAGTCCGGGAAGGGTGTTCCCCACCAGGGTGCTAACAGGCTATTTCAGGATGTCTCTCTCTCCTAGCCCTGTCTGGCCCTCTCCCCCATCTTCTCTCTAAAGAACCCTATCTTCTCTTTCAGAACTGGCTGGACCCCTCCAAGGAAATCAAAAAGCAGATTCGGAGTGAGTGGATTATCATGGTTGGGGATGTTGTGGAAGGGCGGGTGGGGTCTCCAGGCAGCAGGGGCTCCAGCTGTGCTGCTCTCTCCTACTTGGGGAAAAGGATCCGGAACCATGAGTTCATTTGTGCTACACAGCACATCTTGGGAAGGCCCGGCATTGCCTTATAAATGAAAACTCGAGGCAGGCACAAGAGAAATGACCATCTAGAGTTCCACAGCAGGTTAGCAGAGGAATCATAGATGCATTCAGGGTGATAGGCCTAGAAGGGACCTGCAGAATCATCTAGGATAAGGGGACACATTGATGGCCTGAAAACAGCTTCCTTCCTGTCCAAGGCTGGTGTAAACTTCTATGATTGGTGACCCTTGACTCAGCTCAGAATCCTCATCCACACAACACTGCAGACCACGGCCAACTGATGGGAGTTAACATGTTAGGGAAAAGCTAGGCCTGCCCTGGTCTGGGCCATCTTCTGTTTTTAATGATAGATGACTGAGGCCCAGAGAGAGGCAGTTGCTTACCTAAGGTCGCAGAGTGAACTATTGGCCAATCCAGGTCTTTAGCCCTGGCCTCCCAACACCATCCTGCTCTCTTTTCAAGGCCTGGGGCGAAGAGACAACCTGTCCTTTCTGGCTCAGAGAGGAAGGGCATATTGGGAGGGGTGGAGCAGCCTTCTAATGGCAGAAGGGAGGAAGTAGGTGCTCAGCCAGGGGGCACGCAGTAGGTGGAGACCTGGAGCCTAGAAGCAGAGATGCCTCCACTGGGAGCTCCTCCCCCTTGGCTGTGCTTGGACTCCCTGGTCCTCGGGGCTGGAAAGCAGAGCCTGTTGCCATGACAGCAGGCAGCTGGGCCCAGGGATGCCAGCTGACTCTCCGGGAGGGGCTGGAGGGATTCTTCCTGTAGGCTCCTGTCAGTTGAAGACAAAGAGGCAGGCACACAGACGAAGCATGCTCCTCTGGGGCTGACAGGGTCCTAGGCCTGGGCTTCGGGCTGTCCCTAGGAGTCCCAACCCAGCTGGGAGGCCTGCCTCTCATGCCTGCAAGAATTGGAACACGTACATGCAGCCAAGTGTGCACTGTTTGAGGAGGACCGGGAGCTTGGAAAGGAGAGGCAGAAGACAGACAGAATCGTTGGAACTCAGCATCTTTCCCCAGAGCAGGGAGTCAGTCGGTCCCCTATCTCTGCAGCCCCGGCCAGCACGGCCCAGGCCTCGTGAATGGCTGCTGCTTGTGACCATCTCAGGTCATGGAGGAGCAGTTCTGCCTCCTTCGGTAGAGCCAGAGTCTCCATCCCTACCCCTGGGACTTCTACCCATTCATCTTTGTTCTGCCTTCTGGGGCCCTCATAGAACAATTTCTTAAAAAGATTTTTAAGTAATCCCTACACCCAGTGTGGGGTTTGAACCCACAAACCTGAGATCGAGAGTCTCATGTTCCACTGACCGAGCCAGTGAGGCATCCCACCATTTTCTTGCTCAGCCCCTCAGCCTCCTGAAGGCAGCACCGTGGGTCCTTGTGTCTTGGGCTTCAGAGCTGGGTATATTTCCTCCTAAATCTCTCTGGGTGCCTCTCTGGGCTTCTGTCTCTCCTTGGCAAGTGGATTAGGGTTCATGCCTCACAAGGCAAGGTGTCGGTTACATGTGGACAGCACCTGGCACATAGTAGGTGCTTCCCTGAGGTAGTTTGGTGTGATGGTTGAAAGACAGACACTGGAAGCCAGACTGACTGGATTTGAATCCCGACTTCAACACTACTTCTTGTGTTATTCAGTTGTTCTATGCCTCAGTCTCCTCACCTGTAAAGCGGGGATAATGATAGGACTTATCTTTAGGGTTGTTGTGCAGGGTAAATGAGCTATCATGTGTACAACACCTGGAATGGTGCCTGCACCTAGAAGCATCTAGTACATACTATCTGTCGTTATTACTATTATTACTACTACTGCTACTACTATTATTCCTGAGACGGGGATTGTTCTCCTTGAGGCCACTTTAGCTGTGGGTTCCGGGGTCAGGTGATTGGAGCTTACATCCCAGTTCTGTACCACTAACTAGCTCAGTGACCCTAGGAGAGTGACTTACTCTCTTAGAATCTTCATCTATACAAACAAAAGTTTAGGGCACCTGGGTGGCTCAGTCAGTTAAGCGTCCGACTTTGGTTCAGGTCACGATCTCACAGTTCATGGGTTAGAGCCTGCATCAGGCTCTGTGCTGACAGCTCAGAGCCTGGAGCCTGGCTCAGATTCTGTATCTCTCTCTTTCTACCCTTCCCCCCGTCCCCCTTCCTGCCCCTCCTCCCTCCCCCTCCATTTGTCTCTTTCTTTCAAAAATAAATAAAACATTAAAAAATTAAAAAAAAAATGTACCTCAGGATCATTATGAAGCTCGAACTCCTATATGTGCGTGGACAGTTCTTAGCAAGCAAAGTGACTGGCACTTAGTAAGCGCTGGAGACATTACAGCTTTTTGGGGAAGACGGTGAGGATCACAGGGACAAGGATGGTGGTAATGGCATGGCCTCCAGTCCTTTGTGACCATGGTCCTACCTTGGATGGGCCTTGCTTTCTCACATTGTCCCAGGAGTGAGCTGCCCATTGTTCTAGATAGTAGCCTTCCTCCAAGGCCTCCTCTCTCTTAAGTGGTCATCCCTTTTCCTGGCTTGGGGAGCTTGTTTCCAGCTAAAACCTCAGTCTTTATTTCTCTCTCTGCCTATTTGTGTACCACTGATTGGTTGTATCTCAGTGTGGAGTTTAACATTTATCCCGTGAAAAGCCCTTTGCTACTTTCTGCTCGTTGCGCTTGCCTTTTAGGTCTTGCTAACAACCCCGTTCTGCCATCCGATGTGGAGCCAACCTGGCACAGGGCAGTCTTATGAAGGGGGTTCCTAGGAACAGTAATCTGGCAGGATGCCCTATGAGAAATGGACACAGCAGGTCAAATAAGTTTGGGAAACCCCTAAATGCATGTCCCCTTGAGGGGTGCGATTGACAACAGCAGAGTGAGGGCTCTGAGAAGTCCACAGTGAGGGAACCCATTTGATATGATTTGTTTTCTTCCCATTAACATCCAATGGCATAGACTTTGATGTGGAGGAGGGAGCATGGGCTCTGGAGCTAGGAGGATTGGGTCTGAGCCCTAGCATTGCTGTTTCTTAGCTGAGTGACCTTGGGCTGGCCACTTTACTGACTGGGCCTCAGTGTCCTCATTTGCAAAATGGAGATAATCATAAGACTTTCTCATAGGAGTTGCTGCAAGGTTTCCTGAAGTGATGTTTGTGATTCCCAGTAGGATTGACATGCACCACTGCTCTTCTTTCTTTCTACCTTCCTTCCCATTGCTGTTTCACGAGTCTTTCAACCTGAGCTTCAGTCTCCTCATCTTTCAAGTGGGAATAATATTCCAGTCTTCCTGATTAGATTGTCCTGAAGTTATAGATATGAGAAAACTTTGAGAAATTGCCCATAGTATGATGCATCTGGGTCACCCACTGGGGTGATGGAGCCTCTCTGATTGTTCCCCTATCTTTTCCTCTTAGGCAGCCCCTGGAATTTTGCCTTCACGGTCAAGTTCTACCCCCCTGATCCTGCCCAGCTGACAGAAGACATCACAAGGTGAGGGCAGCAGAGAGGGGGTGGGTGTGCTGGCCATGTGATTAGGAACAAAGGCACCCGGCCCTGGTAGACATGGGGCAGTGATGATGTGGCAGTTGCAAACTGAGATGCCTGTAGCAAGTCCAGGCAGACAGCATCAACAAAAGAAGCTGACTCAGTGCAAGAAAAAGTGATGCAAACACAGTAGGCAGTGGTAGCGCACTCTCAGCTTTAGAGAGGGAAGCATCCCAAGCAGCATTGGGACCCATTTCACTGATTGAAATTGAAATTCAAGAGGGCACACACCATCTAAAACAATTGCTGTTAGCCCCAGAAATCAGTGCCATGTGGGAACTGTTGAAGTGAAGCTAGAGATTTGAGAGTGAAAATCCACAAATTTCAAATGTTAGCAGCTAATTCAAACTTATAAAAATCATGATAGAGGCCATCTCTGGATGGGACAAGCCAAACACATCTGAAGGCTGATGTTCTGGGTGGACCACCATTTTTGACTTTGGAGATAAGGCAGGAGTAGAGCACAGGTGCCTTTGCCCGTAGGGATTTGGTCCCATGTGCTGCCCTGTGCACATGTCAGGCATGTAAGGGTCAAATGAGACATGATCCCCCTGCCCCATGGAGGCAAGCCTGGGCTGCTGGAGTGAACATGGATTGTATGTACAATCTCATTGTGCCTCAGGGCCAGTAGATCACGTGGCTTGAAGATTAGAAGTGGGGTGCAAAGCATTTTTCAGAATGAGAACTTCTATGGGGGTTCATCCCACCTCTGGAATCAGAACAGGTAGAGACCCTTCTCTTTATCTAAGCCCTTTCCAAAGAGGAACTCATGGGTTAGAGTGGGAGAGAGCCAAAGCATAAGAGACTGTTAAAAACTGAGAACAAACTGAGGGTTGATGGGGGGTGGGAGGGAGGGGGGGGTGGGTGATGGGTATTGAGGAGGGCACCTTTTGGGATGAGCACTGGGTGTTGTATGGAAACCAATTTGACAATAAATTTCATATATTAAAAAAATAAAAAAATAAATAAAAAATAAAAATAAAATAAAAATAAAAACATAAAAAAACAAAAAACAAAGAGGAACTCATGATATCTCACTTCATGATATCCTGGGGTTGTGTTATCCATGTGCTGGGCCCCATACTCCCAACAATAATAAGATGATGGCTTGGAGTTATTCTTAGAGCAGAGGAGGGGCTACTAAGCCAGCCTCTCTCTCCCATTGGGTCTCTTCTTAATATTGGCTGCCTGTTTGCCAAGCAATGGGCCACAGGCACAATGCCAACTGTGGCCTTGGGAGATAATACAGATGTCCCTGGGATAGATCAGACCTGAAGTCTTGGCCTCATTAGCCCTGCTCTAAGCCCTGAGGTCATCTTGGGACCAAGATTCAGCAACAAGGTCTCAATTCCATTTCCAAGAGGGCTGAGGGTTGTAGACCAGCTTAGTCCCCATTCCTCTGGTCTTACCCACTGATATCTCTCCTCTTTGTGCCAGACCCCGGGCATTGGGCTTCTAGGGACACCAGGAGAGAAACTAGCCCTGCTTGGCATGGAAGACCTCAGGGAATGGGATAGTAGTAGCAGCTGGTTTAGTAAAAAATATTCAGGCTCAAAATAAACTGGTCAGAATGACAAAATGAAATGAAATATTGGTCAGAGTGGCAGTGATTTTCTAATTTTTAGACTTGAACAAAAATGCCTTTAGGCCCGCACTTGGTGCCTGTGATGTTTGAGCTACTACTGATTCTGAGCCTATGCCTTGGCCCTGAGTGCACACTGAGGCCGCACATACTTTGTGTCAGAGCTTCAGTTCAGACCGCAAAATAATGTCATGGAGCAGTAAAAATTGTACGAGTAAAAGCCACTTAAAAGGAAAAGCAATAGATGATTGCAAACAATGGTGAAACATGGCAAAATGGGCAAGGAGGCATCACTGCCTGAGAATGAACTGAAACATTTTTTTAATGCAATAACTGAAAAAGCAATAAAAAAATTGTTTAAAATGGATCTAAAAACTGTAAAATCATCCAAGTGTGCATAAAGTTATAAAAAAACCATAGCCTTATGGTTGGAAATGTTTCTTTTAAAACAATTTGATTTTAGACAATTCACTTACAGCTGGAGGCAAAATAAAAAGTTTTGAGAAAACATTGGCAAACAGGTTTGTCCTGGCTGTGGAATGCGGTGCAGAAGTTAAAATGAATGAGGTCAGGTCGTTTGTGCTGATCTGGGAAGGGCACTGGGCACGTAGTTGGGTTTGAAAAAGCAAGCTGTAGAATTAGATGTATCATTTGATACCATGTACATGTTAAAAAGACCCATGAATCAAAACACGCGGATTTCTGTATGTCCACGGAGGAAGAAAATCTAGAGCACCACACAGATAATAGGGGTGATCTCTGGGGGAGGGGATTAGGGCTGAGAATAGACATCAAGAAGAAATTTAGAATTATCTTGAAAGTGTACATCTGCAGGGGCACCTGGGTGGCTCAGTCAGTTAAGCATCTGACTCTTGGTTTCGGCTCAGGTCATGATCTCACGGTTTGTGAGATCACACCCCGTGTTGGGCTCAGTGCTGGCAGCATGGAGCCTGCTTGAGATTCTCTCTCTCCTGGATCTCTGCCCCTCCCCCCACTTGCACACACACACGTGCATTCTCTCCCCTCTCTCAAAATAAATTAAAAAAAAACATTGACAAAACAACAAGAAAGTTTACATGTGTTCCACAATAAGAATATATTAATTGCAGGATTAAAAATAGATAAAGTTTAAAAAATGGTCAACCAGCAGAGTATTTAGCTTCAACATAAGTTAGAAATTTAATGTCCCCACAGTAGGGAAAAGTCCCTCGAAGTTAGAAATTAACAAAATATTTAAAGGCACGCAAAATGGTACAAAACCATCCTTTTAGGACACACCCAAAGTATCAGTGCCTGAAATGCCAGTGTCTAGGAGCATCCCTTTTCTGCTGAACCGAGTGTTATCAGTTTGGTTCTGATGGGCAGGTGGGCCTCTGTGCTGGGGGTGTCTAGGGAGGGGGTGGGGCCCATGCCCATGGCCACTCTCCCCTATCTCCAGATACTACCTGTGCCTGCAGCTGCGGGCGGACATCATCACAGGCCGGCTGCCCTGCTCCTTCGTCACACATGCCCTGCTGGGCTCCTACGCTGTGCAGGCTGAGCTGGGTGACTACGATGCTGAGGAGCATGTAGGCAACTATGTCAGTGAGCTCCGTTTTGCCCCCAACCAGACCCGGGAGCTGGAGGAGAGGATCATGGAGCTGCACAAGACGTACAGGTGAGGGGTCTCCCCTGGCTCCTCAGCCGTTAGCTAGGGCCCCAGATGCTGCGCTGTAAGCACCCCGCCTGGCTCTGCCCCTGACTCGAGGTGTATCCGAGAGCAAATCATCTCATCCCACTGGGTCTTTATCAAATGGGAATGGTAGGAACTAGCAGTGTGACCATAAATGACCTCTTGGGACCTCAAGTTCATAAGCTTTTCTGTGGGTATGATAATTCCCTGTCTGTGGCCTCCGAGGATTGTCTCTTTATCTGCCAGCTGGAGATAAGCAAAACTCTCCTGTGTCCTGATGTCTCAGTCTTGGTGTGAAGTTCAAAAGTTTGCGCTCTGAAGCTGGACTGCCTGGGTTCATGTTCTCGCTGTGCCACTTTCTAGCCAGGGGATCTGGACAGGTCACTTCACTTCCCTATGCTTTGGTTTCCTCATCTGTTCAGTGTGAGTGCTAATAGAAGCTGCCTTGTGGTGTTGTTGGGGGACTAAATGGCACACATTACAGACATGCCACATACTTAACTGTTGCTCTCTGTGATTTTAGAGGTTGAATAGTTGTGCAATGGAAAGCACCTTGTTCTAGGAGTTAGATGATGGTTAACTAGATGGGTCATTGTGCAGCTGGCTGTTTAACTTAGCAGCCCCATCTTTCACTTGCACATGTATGGATTTAGATTATCCATGTGTCTCAACTGTTGGTATTTGGGGCAGGAGAATTCATTGTGCAGGATGTTTGGCATCCCTGGGCTACAGGCATCAAATGCCCATAACACCTTCTTAGTCATCTAACAACAAAATGCCCCCTCCCCCATTTCCAAATGCTGCTGTGAGGTTGGTACCACCCCTGGGGGGAATCACCTAGAACTAAATGGCCTCAAGGGTCCTTTAGGCTGGAAGTGCTTTGAGCTCCAAGTCCAGGGTTGTTATGGGAACCTAATTTGATAAATGATGTGAAGCACATTATAAGCCATGAAGTGCTGTGTATGTGTGTGTGGGGGGGGGCGGGGTATGGTGATATTACCTTATTGCTAAGGAGGATGGGAGGAATCAGGTGAATTGTCTCCAGGGGGCTGCATCTGGAGAGGAGGCCTAGGACCGGATGTGGAGGGAATGTGTACGGGGGAGGAAAGCCCATTGGAGTGTGATGGAGTGCTAGGTCCAGAGTGGCAAGTGCATCTCTCAGAGACTTGCACACCAACTCTGGGTAGTAGTGGCTGCTACTGTATTATGTTCAGCAGGATACTGAAACCGCATTGGTTAGCGGTGTCTGCCTGGGCTCAGGAATAGGGAGCGACGGACGGCCTGCCTGCCCCACCGTCTGTCATTCCTGTCATAGGTAACAAGATGTATTAGAGATTTGTAAAAGTCCTGATGATTCAGGGAAAGAAGCTCAAATATAGGCTGGAGAAATGCTAATAGCCACCCCTTCAGCTTTTACAGCTCTTTTGACTTAAAGCACCTGGACATCTAGTGTCCAGGCATCTCACACAGCAGCTCACTGAGGTAGACAGAGCAGAGGAAACTGAGGCCCAGGGGATAGGAGACAGATGTAAGTGAAGGATTCGGAAGGAGCACAGACTCTGGAGCCACATTGTCTGGACTCAGATCCTGACTTTGCTGCTTAATAGTTTGTGTGGCCTGAGGCGAGTTATTTGAGTTCTCTGTGCTGGTTTCTCTATAAAGTGGGAATAATGGTAAGACATACCTTACAGAATTGTTACGAGGGTTCAGTGAGTTCATACACGTGAAACATTTGGAACATTAACCAGCATGTAGTGCTCAATAAATGTTAGCCATGACTAAATAGAAAATGTACAGTTTCCTGGCAGCCAAAGCAAAGAAGGAACTTGATGAATTACATAACTTTCTTTTCAGAAAGGAGAACGTGCACCTGCTTCTCAGGGGAGATGAAGTGGTTGCTGATACAAAGTTCAGAGAGAAATATCTTATGGGGGTGATAATTTAGGAGCCCCTGGGTGATTATAATGAACAATGTCTTCCACAATGGCTCTTCAGTCAAGGAGAAGCAGAATTTATGGCTCACATTTAACTCAGTGGCAGATTAAAGCAGAAATCCCGACTCCCACCTCATCCCTTGAATACTTCCCAGAGGAGACAAGACTAGACCTGAGCTTTGGCAATAGGAAGGGATTGGGTGGCTGAAGCCGGGGCTGGGGGTGCACCATCTTGCACTGAGAGCAGAGGGGAGGGACTGGGCGAGGCCTAGTCATATGCCCACTCCAGCACATTTGTTTTCCTAGAATCACAGGTTCTGATCACAGCCACCTTCAGCCAGCAGGACTTAGGCCTGGGCCTTTTCCATGGCTGTCTGTGATCATGTTCTTTCTCTTAGGGGCATGACTCCAGGAGAAGCAGAAATCCACTTCTTAGAGAACGCCAAGAAGCTTTCCATGTATGGCGTAGACCTGCACCATGCCAAGGTACTGCTGGGTCCCAGGGTCCGCCTAGCATCTGGTGTGTGTGTGTGTGTGTGTGTGTGTGTGTGTGTGTGTCCCTGGTGCTTCCAGAGGGCTTGGTGTGCCAGACCCTGTGTTCCCTCCAACCTGAATCCTTTTATATTCTTATTTCTCATTCCTCAAAGTTCCATAATCCTTTCTCATATTATATTTACTTATGAACCTGTTTGTACCATGTAGAGCTTGGCCTGGTACCACATATGTATCACTCCATGTTTTCTGGCAAATGAATGATTAAGTAAGTGACAGAGAGAATGATCAAAAAAGCAACTGGGTGTATAAATGACAGAATGAATGAATGAATGAATGGAGTGAATGACTGTGTGGGGTGGGTCAGGGGCTCCAGCATGTAGGCTCTAACCCTGATCCCGGAGTCTCTTAGAAGCAGAGCTCAGGAAGGAGTTTCAGGCCGGATGGCAGGTGTGGACTCCAGGCCTGCCATTTGATGGTGTCTACTCACACAGGACTCCGAGGGCATTGACATCATGTTGGGAGTCTGTGCCAATGGCCTGCTTATCTACCGGGACCGGCTGAGAATCAACCGCTTTGCCTGGCCCAAGATTCTCAAGATCTCCTATAAGAGGAGTAACTTCTATATCAAGATCCGGCCTGGGGAGGTGAGCCTGCCTTGGGAACCCCTTCTTCTCACTGGAATTGGCTAGAATGGAGAGAAGACCCTGACATCTGAGCCTGGGTTTTTCCTACTTAGTATACATGGGTCCTGGGTAAGGAGAGAACACTCTTCTTCTGGGATTCTCTACACAGACTTCATACCTTGGGTGGCTCAGTCAGTAGAGCATCCGACTCTTGATCTCAGGGTCGTGAGTTCAAGTCCCATATTGGGCATGAAGCCTACTTTAAACAAAAGACTTCATGCCTTATGTATGTGCCTACATGCAAACATCATTTACACACAGACATAACACACAAACATGGGAGCACACATAAAGATAACCACATATATTCAAGTTACACAGATCAATGAGTACCTGGCCATCCATATCCATGTATTTGCTTACATGAAATATTCAAGTATGTACACATACCAAAATACATGACCACACACACACACACACACACACACACACAAACGTGTATATGTTCAACCTCTATACCTCACCCATCAAAAAAGTCCATTTATTTCTACCTCTCGAATAAATGCAAACCCATCTGCTTCTGTCTTTCTCCACTGTACCAGTCACCAACAGCCACCATCTCTCACCTACATTTCTACAAGGTACTTCTCACTGGTCCCCCTGCCTCCATTGTGCCTTCAGGCCATTTTTCTCATAACTGCCAAAAAGAGCTCAAAAGTCCCTTTCATCAGGTCATGTCTGATACAATGAGATTACTACTACCCCCCTCCCTCCCCGCCCACTCTCCCACCTTAAATCTTTCAAGAGCTCTCTGGCTCATGGGCTACTTTCTGAACTCCAGGTGTGGCCACTTACCTCTCCCATGTATCTCTGTCCCATGTGCACTGTGCTCCAGCCCCTTTGGCCTTACCTGACATCCTAGAATGAGCCAAGATCTTTCCTGCCTCCAGCCTTTTGCTTTTGATGTTCTCTCTACCTGACATTCTCTCTCACATAGTGGGTTCCTTTCCCATCCTTCAGATGTCTGCTCAAAGATCGCTTGTTTAGAGGGCATTCCCAGATCACCCTTTCTAGGACAGATCCTGATCCCTACACCTGCCCAGGTATTCTGTCACATCACACATCTCTGTTCATTCACTCATCAGCGTCTAAAGTGGTTTTGTTTACTAATTTGTTATCAGAGCATCCCCCTTCCCTGTCCCCAAGAATCTTCTGTCTTGGTCACCATGCTGTCTCTGTTGCTTAGGACTTGTCACAGAGTAAGGGTTCTGTCCACTTTATTGAGTAAATGAATGAACAGGCTAGAGTCGCACACGCCTGAGAAAAGGTTCAGAAAGGACGGACCAGCAGCACGAGAACCCAGGCCTTGCTTCTAACCCACTCTCTTTGGTTTCGCAGTACGAGCAGTTTGAGAGCACAATTGGCTTTAAACTCCCAAACCACCGGTCAGCCAAGAGGCTGTGGAAGGTCTGCATCGAGCACCACACATTCTTCCGGTGAGCCTGACCCTGGGGTCGTATGCTCTGTGAGGGGGGGAAGCAGGAGAAGGAACTCGGAGGGACTCCGTGAAAGCCCCTTTACCCAAGTCTCTCCCTTTATGGACCACTTTGACTTGTAGCTTGTGGGACAGTGGGATGAAAGGCCAGCTGTGGTCTAGCCTTGGGCCTGACAACGTAGGTCCGATCCCCCTCCTCACCTCCTCACTCCACTGCAGGCTGGTGTCACCTGAGCCCCCACCCAAGGGCTTCCTGGTGATGGGCTCCAAGTTCCGGTATAGTGGGAGGACCCAGGCACAGACCCGCCAGGCCAGCGCCCTCATTGATCGGCCCGCGCCCTTCTTTGAGCGTTCCTCCAGCAAACGGTACACCATGTCCCGCAGCCTTGATGGAGGTATGCCCCAAATGGGAGATGGGAGAGGGGTGGCATTTAGTGGGAAGTGGGGGCACACCGGCTTTTGCAGAATGAGCAGTGACAGTGGTGGACACCTCACACATTGATTTGCAGCAAGCCTGGTGGCCCGAGACCCTGGTGCATGCACCTGGGCAGCTCCTGGTGGTTTTGCCTAGGCTACAGCATCACTCTTGCTGGAATATGATGTTGCCACTCTCTGGACTTCCCGCAACTTCCCAGAGTCGTGGCCTTTTGGGGTTGCAGGTTCAGCCATATGGTTTTCTGGCCCCCCACCCATGATGCTTAGTGATTCACAGACTGTCAGCCGAGGAGAATGGTATATTGTGACTGCAACGTGCAATGTGACTGGTGATGCCTTACCTGATGGGAGGCTGAGGGGTTGGTTGTTCTCAGTCATTCTTTTTGTTCCAGTGAACTGATTGACATCTAACCACATGGTGCTCTCCACTGCCCTATTCCTGTTGGGCTGACAGGTGCCCTTAATATCAGTGAGAATTGGCCCTACATTGTCCTGTATCCAGCCGACCAGGGCTTCTCAAAACATGGCCCACAGACCACCTGTAAGAGAATCACCTGTAAGCTGGTTAAACATGAAGATTCCTGGGCCTTGGCCAAGGACTCTCCCCAGGATATGCACACTGAAGTTTGTAGGGGAGGTTCAGAGGCCACATGGGCATTGGGGAGATTCAGTTAGGCAAATCTGAGTTCAAATCTCAGCCTTTGTACTCACCAGCTGCTCTGCAGGCCAGGAAGTGGTCATAAATATCCATACATGAATGGCTGGAAGGTCTAGAGCTTAACTGCCCTGTGCCTATTTCCTCTTCTTCAAAATAAGTAATACATACTTGTGTCATAGGGAGAACTAAATATGGTCATGCCTCTACAACCCCTCAAAAAGTTCCCGGCACATAGAAGGACCTAATAAATTATACCCAATAATGGTTTATTGTTTGTTGTAGCAATAATAAATTATTATTGCTTTTAGGTTTGCAGAGGGTAGGTTAAGGTAAGGGGTGGGGACTTGCCTGGGGAAACAGTGGTTATTCCCAGGACACACTGGGGTAGTTAGTTCTGCTCTAGGCAAGCCAGTTCTGCTCAACAAATATTTTGCAAGTGTTAGAATAAGTATGACCCTTTCCTTGGAGGAGCCCATAGAACGCTAGGTTTGTAGGCATATAATGTGATTCAAGCCATGGGAGAAGTATATACAGAATACAGAGCACAAAACAGAATATAGGAGAGAGGGATTAATTCTGTCTAGGAGGGGCAGAAAGGGCTTTGAAGGGAGGGTGACAACTGGGCAGGGTTTTGAAGGATACCTAGGAGTTTTCCAGGTGATCAGGAGAGTCTGATACTTTTCCTGCAGTATGAAGTGAGACCTGTCCCAGGACTCCCTGACCATGTTCAGAGGACATGAAGTTTTTCAAAGGTCCATTTGAGGCTGAGGAAGCTCCTTCTTCTCCTTGAGTGGGAGGAGAGCTAAATAAGGGTTGAGAGCTAACATTTATGCAAAGGGAAAGTACAGTCCCTTTATTTTCCCCTGCAGCTTCCTACATGAAGCCCAGATTGTGCAGGGCAGCAAAGATTGGTCTAGAGCTGGTGAGGCTCATCCTCTCCTACATCCCTCTGGAGGACCAGAAGGCTGAACTCTAAACCAAGAGACCTAGGTCTTTGTCCTGATTCACTGAAAGGTCACCAGTGGGAACTTTCCCCTCTTGGAGTCTCAATTTATCTTTTGTAAAGTGAGGAAAGTGATTTCCATTCTAGCCATCAACACAGAGGATTGTGCGGATCAGATGAGATGGTGTACATAAAAGGGCACTTTGCGAAGTGAGTATATGTGAATAGAAAGAATAATTATTCTCTTTTAATTTAGGCCAGCCCCAAGGATAATCCATGCCATGGTCATTTCAATTCAGTGTTTTCCAGGCATTGTTTCCCACCAAGACATAATCCATGGGCATAGTCTGGATTATGTCCAGTGCCTAGTGTAAAGCCTCTAATTCCATCCCTTTCTTTCCTATTCACAAAAGTACTTTGGAATGCCAGTGAGTGAGAAAGATGTTATTGCAGGGATCCCTCTGAACTTTCCCTAATTTATAAAGAGGCTAAATTATTTGCAAATCTCAGGACTTTAGCTTTCAGTAGTAAAAGCTAATCTCACAATATCTATGTATTGCCAAATAATGGTCAAGTGAGTATTCTGTCACAACCACCACAACAAAAACATCAACATTTGTGGTCCAACATTGGTTGAATTGGCTCACTCTGTGCCAGTCTGTCTTCTAAGTATTTAACACACATTAGTTTATTCATTCCTCCCCTCAGCTGTCTGAAATAAGTATTGTTTATAGATGAGGAAACTGAGGCCCAGAGAGGTTGTATAACTTACCCAAGGTCACACAGCCAAGAAGAGATGGATTTGAGAATTAAACCTGGGCTCTAGTGCCATAGAAGTCAGGAGGGGGTCTGGGGCTGGGAGGCAGCTCTGCTTCGTACCATCCTCATGACTGGACACGGCTACCTCCCCTGTACTTATCCCTGACCTGTTGGAGATGTGGATGTCTGTGCTCCACTCCAACCATGGTTGGGCGGTTGGCAGGGCTGGCTCCCTGTCCGTCCCCCTGGGAGAGGTCTCACAAGGCCACCTGGCCATCTCTGCCCATTTTAGCGGAGTTCTCCCGCCCAGCCTCGGTTAGTGAGAACCATGACGCAGGACCCGATGGTGACAAGCAAGAGGAGGATGGCGAGTCTGGGGGTAGGCGGTCAGAGGCCGAGGAGGGAGAGGTCAGGACTCCCACCAAGATCAAGGAGCTAAAGGTAGGAGCCTGACTTTCTCATACCCTCTGACCTGGGGATCAGGAGGCTGATTCTGGGTCTAGCCTCGGCCTTGGCCTTGAGGTATTTCCAGCTGTGGCCGAGCACCCTCATTATGGGATGCACCATGGACAGGGCCTTGCCCAATACCTTGACATCCCCTGGTGTTGGGTGGTAGGCATGCTGCCCCCTTCCCCTCCTTTTGTCCTGCTTCCCCACAGGGGCACTCTGTCCCCTAGAGGACTTCAGCCTCCCCTTGCCCACTCCTAATTTGCCCCTTTGACTGTGATTTGGGTTTGCATGGCCCCTTCCTCCCCAGAGCATGATGGGGTGTCCCTGTAGGCCTTCACAAGGATGAGGTTCAATTATGTCCCCTCCTGCTGCCCCATGCATTTCCCACACACTTGTGCACACACTCCTGCAGGCACGCATGGCCTCCGGTGGGCATGCATTCACTCACAGTTTTTTACCCCTCTCACAGTAGGGTCATGCACCCAGACATGCAAGAAGCATGCACACGGGCATGTGCACACATGGGTATAGCGTATTTCCGTCATGCAGTTGTAGCTTGGAGCACAGGCCCCTGAACATACATGCTGACGGCAAGAAGCATGAATGCCCAGAGCCCTCATGTCCCGTTTACTGAGTGTGACTGCCTGCTGTGCCCCCAGTCCTCCCACTCCCTTCTTCACCTCCCCAGGCCAGCACCCTGCCTCACACCCCACACCTTTGGCTACCTCACTGCCCCTTGGGTGGCCCACCAGCTTCCCTGGCCCCTGCTCCTCAGGAAAGAACCCTCTGGGCTACCTGCTGCACCAGACAATGAAGGTAATTCGCAGTTTTCCTCTAATCCATTTGCTTTACTGACCCTGCCGGTTCCTTCTCCTTCTCCCCGCCTCCTGGCAGAGACCAGAGCCTAAGACACAAGCAGGAGGTGTTTGCTGGGACTCTGTCACTCACTTGAAGATTTTAGATCTCGTCGATAGTTTGCTGAAAACCACTATCCGTCCCACGGTCCCACTTTGAAGAACTGTGTCGCAATTGACTCAATCTCGACTATTTAGTTTTGCTCTTGTTCCTCGGGTAGTATATCCTCCCACTACGGCTCTTCCTCCATCTTCCGTTCTTCCTCTTCCATTTTTTCTTCCTTCTCCATCTCCTTCCAGTCGGCTCCTTTGCTCAGATTCTACTTTCTAACTGTTTTTTTCCCCTTCCTCCTTTTTTATTTAGCCTCATATTCTTCCATCTTCCACTTATGCTTTATTTTAATCAAGGCACCTGACTATCTTCCAGGTTCAAATAGTTTTCAGGCCTTGAAATCTTTGATTCCGTTCTATAAAGCAGCTTTGGTTCATCTCCTACTTCCATACACTAATTAACTTTCCTCAGACTCATCTCCTCCATACCACTGTTTGGTCATGCCTCCACCTCCTCTGTGTCCTCTATGTCCTCCCCCCAAGCTTCTTTTTGTATCTGTTGGCAACCAGATGTGGGAATGTGGGTGGGGTGGGGAGGGAGGAGCCTCAGGATGCTTCTGGCCTTCTCACACTCCAGCTTCCCTCCCTCTGGGTGGAGCTTGCTGCTCCAGCTCTGTGGAGAGCCTCTTCTTTTCTCTTCTCTCTCCTCTTCCTTCTCCCTTCCGTTGCTTCTTTGGACTTACTCCTCTGTGTTAAGGACTTCACCTTTCCTTTCACACAATCCCCAACTCTTCATCTGAAACTGTACTACTCTAGAAGCCAGTCTGTTGTAGGCCCTGAGGGAGAGGACAGGGGCTGGGGCGTAAGAGCCTGGCCTTGGTGTCCCACAAACTGGGTTTCAGCCTGACTCTCTGAGGGTCATGGGTAAGCCGCTGGAGGCCCCAGTCCCCCATCTGCACAGCAAGACATGTGGACTAGGTTTCCCCAAAGCCCTTAACCCTAATCAAGGATCGCAGGGTTCCACTGCTCCCTCTTTCTTGTCTTCAGGAATGCTATGTGCCCACAGAGCCAGTGTGGCAGGTTCAGGATAGGTCACAAGCCACATCTTGGGTCCATTGCAGCTCATAGCCCACTGCTTTGTGCAAACCCTGTCGGGTTTGACTTCTCAAACATTGTTCTGAGGCAGTTCAGCTCAGGAAGGGATACTGGAAGTACAGACAGATGTCTGGAGGGAAAACAGAAGCCTCAGTGGCATCAATTTCCTTCCTAACTCATGAGTCAATCATAGTGGATCCTTGGATGCCAGAGATAAGCCCAGGGGAAGATTTTAGCCTTGTCCAAGGGCAAGCTTGCCTTCCAGGTAATTCTTCCAGAATCAGCTGATCTGACTTTATAATAAGCTGAGATTGTTCATTTCTTGTCCTGAATTGAGTTGACATGAATCCTAAAACAGCCTTGCAGATAAAGATGCTTGAGCTAACAGCCCACCCCTAAAAGTAGGCCTACTGGCTCCTGTGCAAAGGCTGATCCTCACTTGACCTTGAGGTGGATTACTCTGTCATGCTGCACTGGCTTGAGCTCAAACTTGGCAGTTTAATGGGGGACACATCTAAGACTCCAGCTATACCCAGATCAGTTCTTGTGCCCAGCCTTACCTCTCTTCTTCCTGGTCTCCATTTCTCCTAATCTCTTGAATACCCACAGCACCCTACTTTGTCTGTCTAGCCATATCTTACCCTGTCTGCTCTTGAGGAGTTGGTATCCACCAGGTATCCAGAAAATCCTGGGTGATTAGGAAAAGTAGTGGCTCACAGTAGAGAGTGCTGAACACAATCTTTTCCTGGCTCCTGTGGCTCATTTTTTCTGGGTATCCCTGGCTTAAGGAGTATCTGCATGCTAAGCCCCCTAGGGCCTGAGCAACTCACCTGTTGGGCTAAGAGGGGCCTAGACTGAGGGTCCTGCTAAGCACAATGGTCCAAGTCTTGGCTGGAAGGGACCAGGTGCCCCGGAGGCCAGGGAGTGGACCAGAGCAGCCCAGTGAACAGGGTTGGCCAGTTCTCACTGTGCCTTGGTTGTAACCAGAAGAAAGTCACCTCCATGCCCAGTTGAGACTTGGTGCACAGAACCAGTGGAAACTCACCCCATCTTATGGGATTTGAGTTACCTTGCTGGTTTTGAGGCCGGGAACCAGGCAAAGGGAAAGAAAAGGTGGTGCTTGGCCAGAAGCCTCCTCTTCTTAATCTTAAGTGCCTTTTGATCCTCTTTTTAATCTTAGGTGCTTTGTGCACCTGTCAGGGCTAATCATGTCTGCCCCGCTTGGTTCATGGGGTTCAGTGAGGGTGAGACGGAGTCCTGGATGGGAATCACCTTGCTGATGTAGGGCAGCGACCGCCATGGTTACCATTTGCACCGTGCCCTGCATCCCCTGCTTGGAGCTGTTCCTCTAACACCCACTGCCCTCTCCATCCACCCCTAGTTCTTAGACAAGCCAGAAGATGTCTTGCTCAAGCACCAGGCAAGCATAAATGAGCTCAAGAGGACCCTGAAGGAACCCAACAGCAAACTGATCCACCGGGATCGAGACTGGGAACGGGAGCGCAGGCTGCCCTCCTCGCCCGCCTCCCCCTCCCCCAAGGGCACTCCTGAGAAAGCCAATGAGGTAGGTCTCACCCTGAACCCCTCAACAGGGGCTTTGGGTAAAGAGGGTTGGGAAGGTTGCTCTGCACTGACTTACACTCATCCTTCTCACCTGTATGCCTCCTCGAGTTGCTGTACAAGGTGCTGATGGGGATGGGGGTGGGGGTAGGCTGGGAAAGACAAATTCACTGTATCTTGGAATCCTTGGGCCCCAGGGACCACCTTGAAAAACTCAGAAGACACTGTGGCTTGGTGTATTCCCCTTCCATCAGCCGGAATACAATGGAGAGGGGTGTTTGTTAGGAATGTAGGTTCTGGGGCTCCATGTCAGACCGACAGAATCAGAATATTTGGAGATAGAGCCTTGGAATCAGCATTTTAAACAAGTGCCCCAGGTGATTTTCATGCACACTAAACTTTGAGAATCCCAGTAGTTGTATCCAGTAACCAGATCCTTTAGCGCCTGTTGTGAAAACACAGATGGGCTGTGTGTGTGTGGGGTGTGTGTGTATGTGTGGGGGGGTGTTCCCTCCTGGAAGGATCCTTGGAGCCCACTAGAGGGAACGAATCCTCCAAAAAAATCAGACCTGCGCCTCTTGCTTCAGAAAAGGATCCCACACCCACCTGTCTTTCAGGGTGGAAAACATGGGATGTTTTCTCAAATGAAAAAGAGATAAAGATAGGACCTTGAGAATTCCTGTATTTATAATCCCAGCTATTATTTTTAGCACTGCAAAATCTTGGCAATATTTAACCCCTATTTATACTTAGGTGTTTTCTCTCTAGCACTGCTGCTTACTTGTCTCAAACCCAACAGATCTAGACTTACACCACCTGGGTTTGAATTCTGACTCTGATTTCCTGCTAGCTGGACGACTCTGGGCTTGTTACTTAACCTCTCTGAGCTTCCATTAGGTAGAGATAATAAAAGTACCTACTTCATAGGAATGTTGTGAGGAGCCAGGAAAATCAACCATGGAGGGACTGGTAGAGTCCCTAGATGCTCAGTAGGAGTTACTTACTATTTCATTTTGAGAGTCCTGGGGCTAATTTCAAATCAGAACCCCTTTTACAGTTGGAAGGACTCTCAACCTACTTGGTTCAGGGTCATCTCTTTACAGATGGGGCACCGAGGCCCAGAATGGAAGTACTTGTTCAGTGTCATAGCTGATAGAAGAGGGACCAGACCCTGATTTTCTTGTGTCCCAGGCCATTGTATCTGCTATTAAATCAAAGCTGCCTGAGAGCAAGACCAAATCTTGTGAAGACCAGGATAGAGTCCACTGTGAATGTACTGCTCTCTAATGCTTTGAAAATTGGTGATGCAGTCATGATCTAATAAGTAAACATTTGATTGAATTAGCACTCCCCATATGGCCTTGACATGCCAGATAACAGAGGGCCTCGTCCAGTGAGGCTGCTGGCCTGTAGTTTCCTGGCTGGTGATTCACAGTATTAGGGATGCTTTGAGGGTCTTTAAGTTCAGTGCCATGGAAGGAGGGCAAATCTGCATCTACTGAGGACCTCTGTGATCATCCCTGGCGCAAATGAGACCCTGAAGATTCTGGCCTGGGCCATGGGAGCTGGTCTGGTGATCCAGTTACATGCCCCACTCCTCTTGCCCTGAGAGACTTGACCAGAGTGGCCTGGCTGTGGGTGAGGATAGATGGCTTTGAAAGGGTGGGACTCCAGCAGAGGAGGGCCCCATGAGCCCTGGGGATCTGGGCTATGGAGCTTCCAAGTGCCTCAGAGCAGCCTGGCTTGGGAGTGTGCCCCACCTGCTGGTAATAGCTGGAACTGCTAGAGATGGGTCTTCCTAAAAGGTGGAATCTGTTCCAACCCTTGCCCCTCACTGTTGCTCCAAGAAGTGTAGTCCACCTGCTGGAAGGGATTCTGTTCCAGGAGCTCAGCTTGGAGCTATGAACCATTTAGCAGGCCCCACTGGCATTTAGAGGCCCTTGAAGATTTGGGACATGGGGAGAAGCTGTAGGCAAGGACCGGACTGGGTTGTTGGGTGGGTGACCATACCTCTCTGAGCCTCACAGCCTAGTCAGCCCATCTAAAGTGGGACCAAAATTGCCATTCCATAGGGTTACTAGGAAGGCTGAGTGAAATAGTGGGTATAAAAGCACTTTAGAAACTGCAAAGTGCTGTATGGTTATGGGGCCATTGCTGATGGTGACTGGAATCCCTGATCCAAATACAGACTTTGTGGGGGCTCTCCTGCAAGAGTGTGTCATCAGAGAGGTCCTAGTAGCTTCCTCATATGTTGTTGGGCCTCATCTGGACTAAGGGGAAGACAGGGGGGACCTTAAATCAAAATAGGGGCTCCAAATTTTAAGAAGAGTTCCCATTTCCCAAACCCAGGTTTTCATTTCAAAGATAACTTTATGAAGGGCTAAGACCCAAACTGCAGGATTGAACCATTGCTTAAACCAAAGACACCCGGGGCAGATTTGGGATCAGAGTCTGAGCGGTATGGCTCCCCAGCCTCTCGATTAAGAGTCTCTGGAGTGAGAGTGGTATGGTTCCACATCCTCTTGAATGAGAGCAGTGAGAAAAAGGTCCAAAGCCAAGGTGCTGGCTGGCCGCTGACTGTGGGCCTTCCTCCCTTAAAGGGCCACAAGGGGCAGTTCCTTTCTCTCCTGCCCCACTGGCTCCTTCCCGGTCTAAGCCACAAACCCTGAGGGTGTGGGATTTACAAAGCTGGGCTATTTACAGGCTCTGTGTGTGTGTTTCTTCTGCTTCCTCTCTCTCCCACTTTTCCTATCTCTGTCTCTCCTTCCCTTCCTCCCTCTTTCCCTTTCCTCCGGCCCTGGGCCTCCCCTGCAGTCCCGGAGGACCCAGGACACCTCTCCGCAGGACTTGGCACCTGAGCCTGGGACGGCCACAGGCTGGGAAGTGTTCACTCAGAAAAGCCTCGCAGCGTCTCCTGAGGTTACTGTCGGCACTTCCCCGCCCACACACAGCCACTCTAATGGTCTCAAGAAAACCCTTTCTCTGGGGTGAGGGGGGTGGACCAGGCTCTGCCATGCAGGTGGAAGCAATGGGTAGCCCTTGTATCCCCATGCTGTGACAAGTGATTGTCCCCATCCCAGGGATCCATAAAAGGCCAGCCCCTCCCTCATCCATTGTTTTTCCAGGAATCAGACTGAGACCATATTCTGAGAAGACAGGACAGTCTGAGTCTGGCTCTGGCTTCAAAGGAGAGGCTGAAATGATCTCCTTCTCTTGGGCCCTCCTGACTTTACAGGCAGGCTCTGATGTCTAAGCTTGGGATCAGGGGTCATGGCACCTAAATGCCTTCTGCCCTCAAGTCTTTTCTCTGTTCAGAAGCCCGAGTAAGGTCTAACAGTGGCTGTTTAGGGGATGGCTTCTCATTCATCCTCCGCCTTCGTCTTCTCTAAACTCTTGGCAGGCGGACAAAAGTGGGCATCTGGCTCCAAGGAGATTCCTTGGGGTTGAAGAGATGTTGGCCAGGCAAGTGTTCTAATGAGGAGAGCATCACTTCTGTGCCCAGGATGGCAGCGGGGAGGTTGGGAGGGCTCCTAAGTCCCGCTAGGCATGGCATCCAGGCCCAGGGAGTGGGGGGTGGCACTGTATCTTCCTCCCTGCCAAGAGCTCATAGACCATGAGGATTGGGAGGTACTGACCAATCATCTGGGTGGAACTTCCTTCTCCCTGATATCTGGCCCTCCCCTTTTGGCATCTCCCAAAAAGTACATATGAGGGCATCTCCCTTTTTAAATTCCCATGGAAAAAATTTCTAGCTGCTGAAAAATGTGCTGAAACTCTAAAAGAGACAGAAGTCAGCACATAGGTGGTAAAACAGAAATCACAGTTCCTGTCCGAAGTTTTCTTCAATGTGAAACTAAAACAACTACCAGAAGTCGGACAGGAGTCAGTAGCATCCCAAGGTTAGGGAAAAAGTGATGCCCTGGAGCACAGAGCTGCTCCTAGAGCCAAGGACAGGCGCCCATACTCTGGAGCAGGGGTGGTGGGCAACACGCTCCCTTCATCAGCATCCCTGCAAATCGTCCATTCCAGCTCCTTCCACAGAGGGGGCTCTTATCATTCCGACCATACCATATCATATCAGCAGACCATTTTGTCTTCAGTCATCTGTTGAGAAGTGTTCATGTTGAATTAAAACCTGCCCTTCTGGATTACCTGTCTGTGGGCCTTGCTCTGCCCCCTGCTGCCCTTAGATCTGCTCTGCATCCTCCTCCAGGACAGTCCTTCAGAGTTAAGCACCTCCTCTCCCCCTGAACACTCCTCCTTTCTTCAAAGGTTTCTCCCAGGTTGTAGTTTCTAGAGGGCTTCTTGTCCTGCATCCCCTCTTCTGGGTGTCTTCTGTAAAGAGCAGGGCCCAGAATGTGACCCAAAGCCCCAGGTGGGGACTCAACAGCCCAGAGACCACAGAACTGCCTGGTGGGAGATTTTCTCCCTGTCATGGCTTGGGTGGGAACAGAACTGGCTCCGTTTCCTTCTACAGCTTCAGCTCCTTGCCGCAGTACTTCCAGCTGATAGCAGGGGGCGCTCTGAACAGGCACTGCAGGTCCCCTGGCTCTGTGGAAAGAATGGCGACAGGGCTACCAGACTTCCCATCTGCCTTGTGTAGTAGGGTCAGAACAGCTTTCAGACAGGTGCAGTCCTACCGGTGCCTTCGTGCCAGTGAAGTTCTCTTTTTTTTGCTCTCAAGTCTTTTTTTTTCTTTTCAGGATTTTCACTTGTTAAAAGCAGAGCCTCTTTTTCCCTCACTGCTCACTCTGTGATCTGTGTAAGTCACTTCCCCTCTGGGGAACCTCAGTTTCCCCTTCTGAAATAAGGGTAACAGTATCTGCTTTCCACATCACCATTTGGATTAAATTTAATCTGACATTGCCTGGCACAGATTAACTAAATATAAGTATGTGTTTCCTTTTTCCTTTCTGCAGAATTTTTCTTTCTATACTGTGCTAGTTCCCACCCCACTCAGCTTAATTTCTAGGCTTCTAGTTTCTAGGAACTAGTTTTTGGTTAGACTTGGGGCAAGAATATTCCAGAAGGGGTCTCCTTGACCATCTGTGGCCACCATTGCCAAGCTGATGATGTCACTACACGCTGAAATGGGGGCCACTGAGGGTGCCTCCTTCCTCAGTAGAAGAGAAAAGAGACCTGGCTTCTATAGGCTCTTGAAGCACTTTTCTTTGGGATGGTTCACATGGTATTGTCCTGAGACTTAGCAACCTGCAGTAAAATCCCAGAAATCTACACATGGGCCTTCTACCTTCCGCTTGTCTCTCTTACCTGTTGGCAGGATCCACAGATGGGACAGGACTCTTTCAATGAAGTTTCATTCCCTGAGAACCATGGAGATTTTGCTAGCATGGATTGAGGGAGTGGAGGTGAGAGTTTACAGCGCTCCCTGATCTTTCAGAATCCTTCAGATCTAATGGGGTCTGACAGACTCTTCATCAGGCCGTAACCTGAGTCAGAGCCCAGTCATATAAATCTCTCCCCTCCTGCTGGGAGCAGCTTCTGGCACATCTTACCATGGAGGCACTTCCCAGAACTTGGAGTCAGAGACTGGATTCTAGGCCTGCCTTTTCCCCTAGCTCACTCTCTGACCTTGGACATGGTACTTACCTTTTCTAGGCCTCAGTTTCCACATCTGTACCATAAGAGGCTTGAGTCAGAGCAGTGGTTTCAAAGGAGGGTGATACCTTGACACTAGGGCAGCCGAGGCCTCCCCCTTAAACATGGCAGCCTGTATTTGGGTTACATATTGGACTTCCATTGAGATTTTATGTGAAGAACGTATTCTTCGGCTGCAACATTAGAATTCCAATGGCCTTCTTGATTTTTTTAATGATTCTGAAGTCCATCATTCCCTCCTAAGTATTGTTTGACGGACTGTAGGAAGGATGTTGAAAGCTGTTTTGTCGACAGTTTGACAGTGCTACCCTCTTGTTGGTGCTTTTGACAGGTGATAGATACTTGGGTCTTTAGATCTTTTCCTTCCATGATGTCTTCTGTTCAGCCCTTTTCTACTCTTTCTGTGGATTTTGTGTAGAATTCTCCAAGAATAGGCTTTGGTATTCTTTTCCCTGGGAATGAACACTACAAAATTCAAGCTGTTCAAGCCATTGTGGTGACTGGCACTGACTTGAGCTGCGCATTTGGCATTTTCCATTCTAATCTCTTTCCTTCCCAGGAGCTCTTGCAGAAAAGTCAGATTTTAGGCTGTAGCCTGTGGAATTTAATTCAGTGCTTTCCCTCTTGACATTAGGTCACAACTGGGATCCGTATTCTGTAGGTTGTGAGATAAGTCAGCAAGGATCTTAGGAATCAAAAATCAGGCACTCTTTTCTTGACTCTACCATGAACTAAATGTGACCTTGGGTAAGTCACTGACATTCTCTAGGCCTCAGTTTACACATTTGCACAATGAGGAAATTGGACTAGAAGATTTCTTAGGAGTTCTTTTTGTTCTAACCTTCAAAGACTCCATGTGATGTAAGTTACTTTCTCCTCTGACAGTGGCAATTGTATTATTAAAAAAGGAAGAGGAAGAGTCCTGGCCCATCTGTGGATCTCCATTGTCCCATGATTAAACATGGGGAGGGCATGAGACCCCATCCCATTTTACCAAGTTGGGGTAGTGGTTGAGGGGAGTTGGTAAATAATTTGTTGGGTGCCTTGACGGGAAGGGTAGCCTTAATGAGGCTGACTAGCATTGTCACGCCTTTCTCCCCCCAGCCAGTTCTGGGGACATGTTAACTTTTGGTGGTAGGTTGGTCCCTTCTTGCACAGGAAACAGTGACCTGTTTTTCATGTGCCTATATTTCATGTTAACTCTTCTTGCTCCAATTGAAACACAGGGTTCAGAGCATTGGGTATTTATAGAAAGACAGTACACTAGGCCAGAAGAACTCAGTCTCCTAAAAGCGGCCACCACGCAGCAGGAAGAAAGTAAGGCAGGCCTCACAAATATCCTTGCTGATGGCAGACTCTCCAAGGTAAACATCCTGGTGGACAAGTTCAAAGTTGAAGTGGCCACAGAAGAAATGGTGGGAGTCAGAAGAGCAAAGACCCAGCAACAAGGAAGGATGATTGCAAGCCCTGAAGACTTTGAGTCAGTGTGGGAGGAAGGCCCCTGGGTCAGGGAAGGCCCAGGAGGGCCTTCTCTGGCTGCAGGCTGCACACTGGCAGAAAATCTCCTTGAGGGCTCCCAGTTGAGGGTGGGCACTGGGGAGGCGACCATCAAGAAGCGCTGGATCTCAGGTGGTCAGCTGGAGGGCCAGATGGAACTGAGGAAGGAGCTGGAGGAGATCCCGATTTGTGGAAGATCTGCTGCGTCAGGGGCCAGGCCAGCAGAGGCCGAGATCCCCTCTCCAGCCTCCGACAAGGGAGGACTCCAGTCGTTTCTACTGGACCCAGCCCAGTCAGAAGCCAGAGCCGACTCGAGTGATGAAACTGAACCTTCCTTTGCAGAGCGGAGCTTCTACTTAAACTATGAAGAGAAAGATTCTGAAGACCAAGTCCCCCCTCCACCTCTGGATGCCCTTCCTGTTGACGAGACCGGGATAGAGCTCCCAGAGAAGCTCCTAGAGAGCTCTGAGCGGAATTCCTCAGGCCTACAGGGCTTTGCTGCAGCTTCCAGCAGGGATGAGGATGAAGAGAGTGAAGCCCACACAGCCTCCTTAGAGGAAGGGGCAGGGATCCGTGGGAGCCACAGAAGACCAGATGGCCTGGAGGTCTTTGTTGAGCAGCTTGGTAAGGGACCTTCTCCAGGGCAGACATTTGCTGAGGACTGGGAAGAAGCTGGGCGGGGGGTGGAAAGAGAATTTAGCCACCCAGCATCCAACATAGGCACAGAGGAAAAGACCCCCAAGAGTGGAGATTTGACGGAAGAGGCTGAGAAAAATATCCCAGCAGGATGGAAGAACCACTCACCTCACAGAGGAGGAGGCATGCGCCCAGACCTCCCAGCCTGCATCGTTCCGCGGTCCATCCCTCCTAATGATGTCAGGAAGCCAGCCAAACCGGACAGAGGCAGCTTCCTGCCCCAAGACAGGGGACTGGTTCACACACAAACAGGAGACCCTGCGACAGAGGACAGCAAGGCCTCAGCGTTTCTTCAGATGGAGGTGATCACCCCCGTCCCAGCCTTCCCTGGTCCCTTTCAGGCTCAGGCAGCTCCAGAGGAAACTTCTCCAAGCCCAGTCCCTCGTGGATCAGGGGAGCCTCCACACCTTGGGGATCCTTTTGGAGAACAGTCCCCTGCTTTTCTCAAACATGCCCATCCTTTTAAAGAGAGCCCGGAGCCTAAGGACCACGTAGGACTGTTCGTGACCCTGGACAGAGGAGAGCGCAGGGCACCTCCCATTGCCAGCAGAAAGCCCAGAGTTGTCTCTGAAGAAGCTGAGGGAGCTGTACCCCTGGCGTTGGTGTTCCCTCCAGGGAAGCAAAGGGAGATGACCTCTTTCCAGGCTGGGGGCCGAGAGGGCTCCCTGGAAGATATTAGCAAGACCTCAGTGGCCAATAAAATTCGGATCTTTGAGACCCATGGAGCTGAAACTCGCCGAGTGAGTCAAGGCGAAACCAGGGCCCTAATAAACGAGTTGTCTCCAGAGACCTCCATGGGTCAGGTAGAGCAACAGCGGAATAAGCTTTTGGATCTGGGCTTCGTCCAGCTCCAGTCCCCAGGGGACTTTGCTGGCCCCAAAGCCAGCCATTCCTCAGTGATGCCACTGGCTGCCAGACACTTCAGGGAGGGCATTTCTACCACATCCCAACAGGAAGGATGCACAGAACTCGAGCTCGTGTCCCCTGATTCAGGCTGTGAAACTGCGCTGGAGGTAGCCACTGGGGGAACTGGCCACGTGAGCCCCTGCCCCCACCACTGCCCCTGAGCTGGGGGAGTAGACCGCATGCTGCGTAGCTCCGTAGTAGCATGTTTCAGTGGCCCCTCATCATTACTGCGATCAGAGGCTGCTTGTCCATTCCTATGAGTTCTTTCCCCTAAACCAGCCTGAGAGTAGCCCAGGCGGAATGATGGGTTCATCTGGTTGGCCTGTGTTAGCTTAGCCACAGAGACCCTCGGCTTGTGGTGTGACCTGGTGCCCAGAGGGTCACACAGCCCCAGTGGAGAAGGTTGGCACCACCACCAGCAAACTACACACTTGCTTTGCCTTGCTGCCCCCACCTGCTGGGCTCCTACCTGTTTTGCTTGGCTTGTCCAACGATCTTCCTTCACCCTTTCCCTTCCCTGGCTCTCCTGCCTTGGGGAAGCTGACAGTCCAGAGGTTTCCATCCTTTGCTTCTGGTTCCCTCTTGGTCCCACTGCCAAGTTCCTTTCTGCCTCCTTAAGACTAACTATCTTCTCTAATCCAGAACACATCCGGAGATGCGGTCAGGGAAGAGAAGCACATCACCAGCTTAGCAGCAAACCCCCCTGGAAAAGGGGGGCGCCTGAGATTCGCCAGCCCCTCGGGCCCTCAGGTCTCTGCAGCCCCTTGGTGCCCTGATGACCCAGTCATCTTCACCTGGCCGGGGTGCATCGCTGCCTTAGATTCCCACCTGCTCGGGCAGTGCCTCTTGTGGCAGCTCAACTCTCGCTTGTCTGGAATGTGTCCTCACACCTCTCAACCTTCCAGAAACTAAAATGGAAGTTAAGTTTAGCAAGTGAATCTCTAAGTGCACTGAATCTCTAGAACCTGAAGCCAACTACTTTAAAAAATATTTGGTGGGTGTTAGATTGGGCTTTAAAAAGAACGTCATGAAACAGCCAAAAATGTGCATGTGGTGTTTAATCCCTGACAGGCCAGTTGAGAGGTATGTATGTCGGACAAGAGTTGCTGGTTCCCCTCCAGCGTTTCCTTGGCCTGCTGTTGTCAATTACACTGATGGGACTAGAACCTCCACTCCATGGCCTGCCCACCGGCCCCTCATGGAGCTCAGGGTTGAACTGATGCAGCACCCAGCTCCCAGGAATTAACCCCTGTTGTTCCTCCCCCCTAGACGATGCTGATCCCTCCCACAGAGACTCAGTGGAATTGACAAACCATGTTGGCTTCCTCTTTGTTTCTCAAAGCTCTTGGCTCCAGCCTCCCTGCCTCCCCGTCCCGGGTTTCCCTAAATCCCTGGGTCTCCCTCCTTGGTTTCTGTCTCTTGATGTCCACCTGCACGGATGGGCCTGGATCCAGGCTCCCATCCCTGCCTTGCGCACAATGCCGCTTCTAATCAGCTCCCAGATCCAGACCCTGGATGGGGCTTCCTGTCCAGAACGAACTGGCAGGATGTTTGCTTTTGTACTCGCTTTGGCCATCAGCGGGAGACCCTCGGAAAGGAGCGTTCCCCACTCTTGAGAACTTTGCGGTTTTTTAAAGCTTGTTGTCATGCCAGGGAATCTTTCCGGGAGCGTTTTTCGTTTCCTGACCTGCTCTTCTATTTGAGACATTGAAATGGCCCCAGGGTTTCTTCTGTCATTCACCATCTTGATTTCTCTCTCTCTTTCTTCCCACCCCACACCCCTGTTCCTTTGATTTTTATCTGGCCATAGAGAGCAGGGCTAAGGGAGGGCTCAGAGGAGAAGGTCAAACCGCCCCGTCCCAAGGCCCCAGAGAGTGACACGGGAGACGAGGACCAGGACCAGGAGAGGGACGCGGTGTTCCTGAAAGACAACCACCTGGCGATTGAGCGTAAGTGCTCCAGCATCACTGTCAGCTCCACATCCAGCCTGGAGGCTGAGGTTGACTTCACGGTCATTGGTGACTACCACGGCAGCGCCTTTGAAGACTTCTCCCGCAGCCTGCCTGAGCTCGACCGAGACAAAAGTGACTCCGAAACTGAGGGCCTGGTGTTCTCCCGGGATCTCAGCAAGGGGGGCCCCAGCCAGGAAGACGAGTCTGGGGGCATCGAGGATAGCCCAGATCGAGGGGCCTGCGCCACCCCAGATATGCCCCAGTTTGAGGTACAGTGGAGCATCCTGAAGACCTATGCCTGGCGGGCACTGCATGTTCAAAGGGCCCCAGGCCATCTGTGAGAAGACTGAGCCACCAGCCTGCAGCCCAGAGCCCCTCAGCCTGAAGCTCTGTCTCGTGTTGCATGACTGTCCCTCCGCAGAACAGCATGGTTCTGTGCTCGCATGTTTGCCATCTTGGTTTACCCCTAACATGCACTCCTTGGCGTTTTAACCCTGTGACCCCATTGCTTGCCTGAGGCCAAGCGATGCCAGACAGTCTGGTCTTACTTGACTCCTCCTCTCCCTGCCTGTGTTGCATGGCACCTGCAGAGAGCATGGGCTTGCGGACTCGCGGGGCTCCTGCAGCCTGGTTTGGAAGTTGGTGGCTTTTCCTGATCCTGGCCCAGGCTCCTCTCCCTGGGGCCTGGGCTTCCTGGGGAAGGGGCAGCAGTTTAAATTCATCTGGCCCTGGGGTCTTGGGGTAGCAGTGGAAACTCCTAGAGAAGAGGAAATGTCCGCATGGAGGGGGACACAGGGATAGACTGTGTCTGGGTCTCTCTGCTTTGTGTCCTTCCTTCAGAGGATCTTTGTCACGTGATTCCTCTGCCCCCTCATCTCTTACAGTCCCAGTCTACCTCCTACCACACTCTCCTCTCCCCCGTGTTCCAGGCATTGAAATATGAGCTCATCTACTCTGGGCTTTCACTCCATGGTGTACTCTCTGGGTAGAATGTTTTCCCTCCCTTTCTCTGCCTTGCAAACCCGTCATGTTCCAGGACCAAGTTCAGATATCACTTCCCTAGCAAATGCTTTCCTAACCACCCTGGGCAGAAGTGTTGGACCTGCTGCAGCCCCCTTGCTCTGTAATGTTTCTGTTCCCGGCATTGTCCCAGATAGGCAGGTTAGTGGCAGCCAGGTCTGCTTTCCTACTGGGTGGCAGCTGCTCTAAGCCTGCCTATAGCAGGCACTGATAGATGACTAACTGGATAAATGGCTAGATCTCAGGGTGACAGTAATCTGTGAGAATCCTCTCACTGCCTTCCCAGCCAGATGACAAGCTATTTCATTCATTCGTTCAGCTCACATATGTTAATATGCTAATAGTCATGTGAACTAGCCTGGATGGAGGACTCTGAAGAAACTGATCATTTAACTGAAGCCTTTTAGAGTAGAGGTTGAAAACTGGTGGCTCCAGGCCAGATCTGGCTAGCAGATGTGTTTTCTTGGACCTTGATTTAAAAATAAGGATGTTGAATATAAAATCCACAGTGTTGTTTTTTTTTTTTTTTTTAATATCATTAAGAAAATCCGATGATCCAGTCACTCAGAGGCCATGGCCACAGTTGGTCCCTACATGTTCTCCAGTTCACTCCAGTCCTTCGTAAGCCCACTTCACCCATTTCCATCTCCTGCCTGGCCTCTGTAGGCATCCAGTTGTATGACTCCTGCTCTCAAGAACAGTTCAAATGAAGCAGCTGGGAGGTGATGGCATAATCATCGAAGTCATTCAGGATGTATATAAGGAAAATACTTAGTGTGGGGCCTGACACAGAACATATTAATTGAATAGTAGATGTTCTTTTAACGGTAGCCTAAAACACAACTTATGGCCACCATGAGGTTATGTGGCTGCAGGGCCATGAGCAGGCCTGTCTGGGTACTGCTGACAGTTCTGGCTCTCCCCTTGGCTATTCGTCTATGACATCTCACCGTGCCTCTTTGCCCTGACCTGCGTGCCCTTCCAGAGACTTGGCTGGCTGCAGGGATGGGGGCTACACTGCATTTGGCTGTGAGCAGGAGCCATGCAGGGGCTTGGGTTATGGAGTGTTCTCTCTCATCTCCTTACAGCCTGTGAAAACAGAAACCATGACTGTCAGCAGCCTGGCCATCAGAAAGAAGATTGAGCCAGAGGCTGTACTGCAGACCAGAGTCACCACTGTGGACAGCACCCAGGTAACCCGTGCCTTTCATTGCACCCTGATCGTAAGCATTGGACATTTAAGGGTGGGGTCCCCACCAAGGCCAAGCCCCTTGGCCAACCCTTGCCACACTGTTTTCCCAGAGCCCCCATTTTAACCCCGATGCTCTTCTAAGCTTCATTGTCCTCCCTGAGCTCTAGAAGTGGGTAGTGGAATGATTTTCTGTCCTGGGCAGACCACGCCTCTTAAAAGCCTCAATTTCCCATCTCTCAAATGGGAATGAGCATGTCTCCCTTGTCTTTCTGGGAGTGCCGTAAGGGCTAGTGGCTAGTGGACTAGACTGTGGCTTTCAGATTGTTTGAAGGGGTTCGAGAGGTTTCTTGACGTATCCCTGGGAGAGAAGAGGGAGACATCTCAATCCAGCTTTTGTTAGGATGGCTCACATTGGATCATTTTTTGACGTATGCGGATTCCATATCAGATTGGCAATGTGAACAAAGTGAGAAAAAGATAGAAAATCATTTGTCTTAGCAAGAGGAAATGTACTTGGTCCCCTGGAGAAAGTGGTCCTAAATAGACACAGGTGAACTGCAGGTGTACAGGTGCATGGTACATTTCCTAAGTTTCTTTTGTGGTTTTTAAACTTTGAACCTTGAGATTGTAGGTCTGATACCCTCTAGGTTCCTTGTGGCCAGAGGGGCTACAGTGCAGGGAGAGGAGACTAGTCTGTGTTTTAAGAACTAAAGTAAGGTGTAAACCAACACAATGTGGGCAACTCTGTCATTTCCAGAATACACCCCCCCCCCACTTTTTATCACTTGCATGATGGTCTACATGGTAGCTAGTGCAATGGTCAAGATGCTCAAGTTCTGACGAGCTGTGTGATTGCAGGCAATGTGCTCCCTCTCTGTCCTATTTTGTTTCAGTAACACATGTTTTATTTTGCTTTCGTATAGAGAAATATAAAGAAAACTAAAAAAGGCCCCCAATTCAACAGCCCAGTAATTCTCACTGACATCAAAACAACAGCATGGGGTGCCTGGGTGGCTCAGTCGGTTGAGCATCCGACTTCGGCTCAGGTCATGATCTCACGGTTCGTGGGTTCAAGCCCCGCATCGGGCTCTGTGCTGACAGCTCAGAGCCTGGAGCCTGCTTCAGATCCTGTGTCTCCCTCTCTCTCTGCCCTTCCCCCATTCGTGCTCTGTCTTGCTGTCTCTCAAAAATGAATAAATGTTAAGAAAATTTTTAAAAACCAGCAAAGTGTTCCATTATGAAATTCAAATAGAACAAATTGAAATTTGTCTTGTGATTCTTCCTAGGAAAAAAATATGCATATTCCAACCTATACACTCACATCTCTAGATATTTTAGAATTTTGCACGAAAGAGATGCTCTTTTACACCTGACCTTTTTTTCTTGATAACTGTCTTGGAGATCACTCCTCATTTGCCATATGTGGGCCCACCTTGCTCTTCTCACTCCCACTTGGGAGTGAGTCCTGACTTATTCTCCCATCAGTGGACTTGTGGCTGTTTGTGTCCTTGGCAGTTAATGGTGAATGCTTCAGTGAACTTTTTTGTCATACTTCTTGGCAAAGTTTTCAAAGTTTACATGCAAAGGATGAACTCCCAGCAATGGAATCAAAGAACACATGTGTTAAAATTTGCCTAGACTTGTCAGGCTATCTGATTTGTTGTCCTTTGTCAAATAAGATGGTTCAAATGATCAGGAGGACTTGTGAGCATCCCCCTCCCACCCATGATTCACTCCCTGTGTAGACAGATTCCCCTCCCCACCAGTGCATGTTCACTCACACAGCCCATCACTCTGTAACTGGGAATGCCACCCACCCAAGTAACAGAAGCTTCAGGTGCATCTGGTGTGCTTTTCTCTCTCTCTCTCTCTCTCTCATGACTCTTCTGGCCAGCAGGTTGATGGGACTGCCCCAGGGGGAAAGGAGTCCATAACAACTGCTCCCTCCATCACCACGGAGACCATATCAACCACCATGGTAAGTAGGACCTGAGAGATTTCCCTCTCTGACCAGCCCCCTTGCACTAAAACAGCCAGGTAACAATATCACAGCCTTGGCCATCTGGGGAAGTCCTCATCTGCCCTCACTGCAGCAGGCATGGGATGTAGAATCTGGGACCATTGTTACCACAGGACATCCAGTTTTCCAAATTGAATAATGCGGGAGGTGGAATCCCTGAGTGTCAGTTATCTGGACCATCTCAGCCACAGCAGGGGTAAAGGGAGGATGGTACCATTTGGTTATTTGATTATTGGCAATACATGAAGATCCCTGGCAGCTAGCTCCTGGCAGCTGTGCATTTTCTCATGTCTCGGGCCACTTCCTTACCTTGGTCAGTAGATGGCATGCAGTGAACGTAAGTTGGAAGCTCAGGACTCTGGTTCTGCTACCTATTTGTGGTCTGACATGTGAAGGAAGGTCCTTGGCCTCAGGTGTCTTCATCTGTAAAGTGGGAATAGTTCCCATTCTGCCTTGTTCACAGGTTCTTAAGAGAATCCGGTAACGTCAGATCCTTTAATGGTGACACAGACCAGATAGCATTAGGCACCCAGGCTGTGTTCCCATGCAAAGTGCCAAGAACCATGAATGGGTGATCTCACTGAGTCCTCACAAAAACTAAAGGGGATTCTCTATTTTCTCCACCTTTTACAGACGAGGAATCTGAAGTACAGAGAGGTTAAGTGACTTCCTAAAGTCACACACCCAGTAAGTGGTAGAACCAGGTCAAACTCAGGCATTCTGACCCCAGAAGCCTCACTATACACATCACCCACTCTGCACCCTCATCCTGACCGTTGTGAACTGTGGCTGCTGGGGCCGGGGCCGGGGCTGGGGCTGATGCTAATGTCTGGGCTGGATCTGTCTTGAGTCAGTGGAAAGTTGTTTTCAAATGCTTTCTCTTGCTGAAACCCTGATATACACATAGGAAGAGAATTGTCTTTAGACTACCCAGCAGGTAGGTTTTGAGCAAAGACAAATAAATCCCAACCAGTTACCAGTGCGCACCCTCTTTCCTGGTCACTCAGTTCCTCTTCTCCCTTAGTCCTCTCCATGTGGCATCAGGATGCTTATAGGGCTAAATTTAAGTTCATACCATAGTGAGTAGGGAGCTACATTGTTCATTTACCCACCCACCCACCCATTCATCCATTTATTTGTTCCAAAAACATTTATTATTCTCTATTGTCTGCCTGGTACAGAATACAGAGATGAAGAAAATATGCTACCTGCTAGAAGTCATTTGTTCAAATAATGATCACAGGTACATATAATTGTTTAGGTCCTGGGCACACAGTGGTGAACAAGGCCCAGCTCTCCCACTTCCTGGCAGGATGACCCTGAGCAAGTTATCTGAGCCTCTCCAAGCCTCAGTTTCCACTTCTATAAAATGGGGTGATGGGGGCAATAATAGTACATCCCTCAAAGGGTTGAACTGAGGATGGACCAAGGTAATCTGTGCAGAGGCTTGCCTGGCACCTGGGAAGGGGTCTGTAAATGTGAACTGCTGTTATTTTCTCCTGCCTTCATGGAACAGTGCAATAATGCTTTCCTGGGGCGGAGCAGGGGTGGGGGGGCTCAGGGAGGATAGGTATGGGGTGATTCCCCTACCAGGAAGAGTGAGAAGGCTTTACCTAGGCATTGACATTTGAGCTATACTTAAAGGATAAGTGAAGGGTCAGCCCCAGCAGAAGGCATTCTAGGCAGTGGGAGTATAGCAGGTGCAAAAACAAGGATGGGAAGGAACGTCACATTTGGGGAAAGGCAGGTGGTCCGTAAAGCAAGATGTCAGGTGTGTGGAAGAGGAGTGGGGTAGGGAGGGGAAGGATCTGGAAAGGTAGGCTGGGCCAGGGCTTGAAGGGCCTCAAGTGTCATATAGGAGGTTCACATTTTATCCTGGAGATAGTGGGGCATCACTCCCAACTTTTGAAGTAGGGGCATGATGTCATCAAGTATGTGTTTCTCTGTGTTTTAGAAAGATTACTCTAGCAACCGTGTGAAACATCACAAGAGGGAAAATTCCCTGATGTCCTCCCTTTCTCCTTCCATCCTTCCTTTGGCAAATATTTGTTGAACACCCACACTATGTGATGCACTGTGCCAGGCGCTGTGAATCTAGCACTCGGGACAGCATCCCGAGACCACATTGGGAGACCAGACATTGGGAGAAACCAAAAGAGAAGGCAGAGAGCTAGTCTGGGGACTGGGGCAGGGCCCGTGTGCGAGGAGGTGGGTGTAAAGAAGGGGAGCAGGGTTAAGGGATAACTGGAGAGAGGAAAACGCAGGATTTGGTCATTGACAGAATGTCCAGTTAACAGAGGGAAAGTGGGCTGGTGACTTTGCACACTAACCCAGACATTCCTCCCCCTTCCCCCAATGTTTATTTATTTATTTTGAGAGAGAGCGTGCACAAGCATGGGAGGGGCAGAAAGAGAGGGAGAGAGAGAGAATCCTAAGCAGGCTCCACACTGTCAGCATGGGGCCTGATGTAGGGCTTGAACTCACAAACCGTGAGTTCATGACCTGAGCCAAAACCAATAGTTAGATGCTTAACTGACTGAGCCACCCAGGTGTCCCTAACCTAGCCGCCACTCCTCCTCCTCCTCCTCCTCTTCCTCCTCCTCCTCTTCTTCTTCTTCTTCTTCTTCTTCTTCTTCTTCTTCTTCTTTTCTTCTTTAATATTTATTTATTTTTGAGAGAAAGAGAGCACAAGTGGGGGTGGGACAGGGAGATAGAGACACAGAATCTGAAGCAGGCTCCAGGCTCCAAGCTGTCAGTGCAGAGCCTGACACAGGGCTCGAACTTGTGAACCTGAGCCAAAGTCAGATGCTTAACCGACTGAGCCACCCAGGCATCCCTAACCTAGCCATTCTTGAAGTGCCGTCCTGGGAACCTTTAGAAACGCAAATCTTTGGGCCCCACCCCAGACCTATTGACTCAGAAACCTTGGGGCAGGGCCCAGAAGTCTGTGACACCCCTCAAGTCTGAGAAGCACTGATGTAAACAGAGAGCACTCAAGGGGATTGCTCTTTAGTGGTAGGCATGTGTCAGGGGCTGGGAGGTAGTGAATTTGAGGTTGGATCTGATGAGTGCTAGGAACCTGTGGGACATTTCCAGGGGAAAATGTCTAGGAAACAATTGATTTTAAAGGTCTAAGTTTCAAGAAAGATCTGGGCTATAGATAAAGAGATATGAGACAGTGGCCTTGTGAGAAGGCCTTGAGTGGCTGAGGCAGTGCAGACAGGTTGGTGAGGAGGAGAACCCTCGGTCTGAGGGAGGAAGTGTCCAGAACCAAGATGGTGGCATTGCCCTGGCCAGGGAGAGGAAGGAGCCGCACCTCTTTGAGGCAGGAGAAAACACTGGCTGAAGATAAAGGAGAGACAGAACAGATGGTGCCTTGTTTTGAATGACCTGTGTCCCCATTAGTGAGTGGCCTCTATTTTCAATGTGTCAGTGGAGGTGAAGCCTTGTCTGGGAAAGAGGGAGCCGTGGGCAAAGAAGAGGCTTTAGGGGAGAATTTCCCGGAGTGATGGTAGGATTCAAAGGGGCTAGTGACTGTTTCCTAAGCTGATGGAAAGGAAGCATTGAACCCAGAAGGCTGCCCCCACCCTTTTTTTTTTAATTGAAGTATAGTTGACACACAATGTTACAATGGTTTCAGGTGTGCAACATAGTGATTTGACAAGTCCATACGTTATGTTATGCTCACCATAAGCGTAGCTACCATCTGTCACTGTGCAGCACTATTACAATACTGCTGACTATATTCTCTATGCTTTTATCCCCCCGAACTCTTCACTCTGTAACTGGAAGCCTGTATCTCCCACTCCCCTTCACCCCTGGTTGCCCATCCTCCACTCCCACCCCTCCAACTGCCAGTTGTCTGTATTTGTGGATATGTTTCTGCTTTTTTCTCTGGTTTGTTTGTTTTGTTTTTTAGATTCCACATAGAAGTGAAATCATATTGTATTTGTCTGACTTATTTCATTTAGCATTATACCCACTAGGTGCATCTATGTTGTTGCAAATTGTAAGATCTCATTTTTTTTTATGGCAAAGTAACATTTCATTATATACATACATACACACACACACCACATCTTCCTTATCCATTCATCTATCGATGGACTTGGGCTGCTTCCATAGCTTGGCTATTGTAAATAATACTGCTGTAAACATAGGGGTGCATATGTCTTTTCATTTAATGTTTTTGTCTTCTTTGGGTAAATACCCAGTAGTGGAATTACTGGATCATATGGTATTTCTATTTTTAATTTTTTTGAGGAACTTCCACACTCTTTTCCACAGTGCCTGAACCAACTTACATTCCCACCAATAGTGCAAGAGGGTTTCCTTTTCTCCACATTCTTGCCAACACTTGTTATTTCTTGTCTATTTGATGCTAGCCTTTCTGACAGGTGGAAGGTGATATCTCATTGTGGTTTTGATTTGCATTTGATGATTAGTGAGGCTGAGCATCTTTTCATGTCTGTTGGCAAGGCTGCCCTTTTAAAGGCTTGCTGCTGGGCCACGTTCTGGGAATCCATCTGAAAAGGTTGCTCATTGGTGGCGTGCCAGGTAACCAGGTCACTGTCTCAGCTGGAGGCAGGCATGGGGGGGCGATAGGCAGGGCAAAGGCAGATGGCTTCTGTCCTCACCTGTCCCCTGGCAGGCAGAGATCCAGATCTAGTACCATGCACAGACAAGGACAAAGGTTCAGCCTGCTCGGCAGCTGCAGAACAGACACAGCTCTGGGCTGCGGGATGGAGAGGACTGAGCCCGAGATGGCATAGAAAGTGGGAGGTGAAGGCAGGCGGCCGGACCCGCTGCCAGATGTGGGGCAGTACATCCAGCCAATGCAGGAGTATCTAGCAGTTAGAATCCACCACAGGACCAGAAGAGCTGCTCCAGGGTAACAGTTCCGAGGGCAGAGTAGTGTTACCGAAGGAGCATGTTGGACTTGGAGACTGACAAACATGGGTCTAAATCCGGGCTCCGTCACTAACTTGCTGGTGGACTTGAACAAGCCTCTTGACATTCTCTGGCCTTCTAATTTCTCAACTGTGAAACGGGAATATTAAAATAATTTCCTGTGGTTGTTCTGAGGATTAAATGAGATAGTGCATCCTTAGCATAATACCCAGCACATACAAGTACTCAGCAAATATTGGTTATCATTATGTTGTTAGGAGCCAGCCTGTATTCCTATGTTTATCCTAAAACTGGCATTTGCAAAGCCCTTTCTCCTCTGCTAGCCTCATAATGTCTCTGTGAGAGTTGGGCAGGGATGTCTTTTTTAAAAAATAACTTTATGACTCCATATTTTCAGAGCAGTTTCAAGAGCAGCTTATGTATTAGAACAGTTTTATAGCAAAGTTGAGAGGAAGGTACCCGCATGCCCCATGTATAGGAACATGTAGGTTTCCCATATACCCCTTGCCCTCACACATGCATAGTCTCCCCCATTATCAACGTTCCCTACCAAAGTGAGACATTTGTTACCATTGATGAACCTACATTGCAGGACTCCCATTTTATAGGTAAATCCATGAGGCCCATAGAACGGAAGTGGCTCTGCCCCAGCCCATGTGGCTGGAACATGGCAGGGCCAGGACAGAAACCTGAATGTCTCTGCTCCTTTGTCAGTGCTTCCCGAGAGCAATGCCGTGTCTTGTTCACCAATGTCCCTAACCCCAGGCACTCTTAATGTTGAATGAGTGAGCAAGTGTCTAAGTGTGTGAGTGAGTAAGAGAGTAAGTGTGAGAGCAGGCCCATGTGTGAGCACGCGAATGCATGACAAAAGTCATTCCTCAACCTCGTGGCCATGAGAGCTACATGGCTACATACTCTGGCCATCCTGGGGGCCCGCCCACGTGAGATCTGGCCATCTGAGCACTATTGTTTCCCCCAGGAGAACAGTCTCAAGTCCGGGAAGGGGGCAGCTGCCATGATCCCAGGCCCACAGACGGTGGCCACGGAAATCCGTTCTCTTTCTCCGGTAAGTGGGTAGGGCCAGCTCAGGCTAGGGTACTCTGTGCTGAGAATGTGGACACAGGTCCCCAGGTGGCCCACAGCAAGTACAGCATAGAGCCCAGTAGGCTGCCCTCTTAAGTACAGCTCCAGGAAACTGGCTCCTTTTCAGGTGCCCACAGGGCTCCCTTGTACCCACCGGAGTCTCATCTGTTGCCTCCACACACCCCCCCCCCCTCACATATGCACACCAGAGGGCACTGCAGCGTGAGGGTGAAGCAGCCCCTCTCCTTGGTGGTGCCTGTGATGTGACAGCTCTTTTGCATCTGCTCTCCTTACTGGCCAGGGGAAAGAGGGACTAGGAGCGCAGAGGCTTGCACTCTGGATGTGGCTGCCAGTGACTGAGTCTGTCACCGTGAGGTCTCTCGCATCTCCTGCATTCTCAAGTCTGTCCTTCTCATTGTCTAGCCCCTGAGATTTCGTGTTCCTGGCTGTAACAGGGTGGGAGCTTGGGAGGGCTCTGTCTCCAGCCTGGATCCCCCGTTCATTCTTTTAAGATACCAGGATTCTTGAATTCTGGGGTCTTGTTAGGATTCTGGGCCTCAGGAATCTCAGGTTCTAGGAATCTGAGATTCAGTGGTTGCGAGTTTCATGGATCTAGCATTCTAAAGATTCCAGTGTTCCTGAATTCTTAAAGTCAGTGGTTTGAAGCATCTTGGCTTCCAAACTTCACCTTTGTGGGGGCCCCCTTGATTCACTCCCCCCACCCCCACCCTGCAGAGCCCAGTATCCTTACCTGAACCCTGGGGTGGGGGGTGGTTATATTCTGCAGATCATCGGGAAAGATGTCCTCACCAGCACCTACGGCGCCACCGCGGAAACCCTCTCCACCTCCACCACCACCCATGTTACCAAAGTGAGTAGCAGCAGGGTGCCATATGCCCTCAGCCTGGCTGTGGGGCTGGGGAAGGTCATTGCCATCGCTGTGCCTTGTAATGTGGACAGAGAAGACCTGTAGCATTCCTAGTTTCTGGAATGCTCTGTGCTTTGTTCTGTACTATGGGTTGTCCTAGGCACAGACCCTGCCCTTCAACATCGACAGCCAGGCTGGGTTGGGGGGCAAGACCATCTCATTGGAAGTAATTCTGAGCCATGGCATTTGCACCTTATAGAACTTAAGTGCTGGCAGGATTTAGAAGAGGCGACGTAAGGAAGCCTCAAAGAGTGAAGAGGGGTCTTCTGGAAAGAGTAGGGTTTGTGCAGGGTCTTAGAAGGCCAGGTAGGACTTGTGAGGGAGGAGAAGACAGATGCAGACATTCTAAACAGTGCAGAAAATGGGAGCAGAGACTGCGCATTTGCTTATTTGTTCACTGAGCAGATGTTAGTGAGCATTAGCCGTACACCAGCCTCTTGCTAGGGTGCAAGTGGTGCATGACTGTGGGAACAGCGGAAGTGGTCTCTATCAGGGAGTAGTAGCACGTAGGGGGCATCACTGTGAGCAACTGGGGGGGGGGGGGACTCGAAGCAGGTGAAGCACAATGGAGACAAATGAGACAAATCCCAGGACAAATGTGACTGTGAAGGGTCTGAGGCTAAGAGCCAATGGAACACTGTCAAGGTTTTTTAACTGGGGAGTGACCCAGGGCAAAGGGGTTTAAGGGGAGGAGATTAGATCCAGCAGGATGTATAGGTAGACAGGGGAGAGAAGAGAGAGAGGCATGGAGAGACTAGGGATGGGGAACCTGGACCAGGGTATGAGTTGCAATGGGGAAAGGAAGAGGCAAGGGCCACAGGAGGGAGTCATTCCCCATGTGTCAGCTGTGACTCAGCCACCGAGCTGAGGCTGAAGACAGGCAGGCCAGCATATCCGTGCCCAAGTAGCCGGGAGGAAGGCAGGAGGGGGCCCGGGCCAGAGATGGAGGCCTGGAGGAGAGAGGCCAGGGAGCCAGGTTGAGGTGGAGGTTCTGCTGAGTCATCCAAAGGAGAAGTCTGGTGGGGCCCACTGGCCCTCCTGCACACACACTGTCCCGGCCCTGCTTGCTCCTGTGCAGGAAGGACTCAGCACCTTTTCATGTTCCCCAGAAAATATCCACTCTCACTGAGAGCATTTGTGAGCGATGTTGACTTTCCCGGAAAGTTTTGTGGGAAGGTTTTCCGTCACCTACCCCACTGCATACTGCTCAGAAAACTCTTCTTCCCCAAGTTCCTCCTGGCCCTGCCAGTTAGGGAGCCCCCTTCTTTCTGTCTGCTCCTGGCTCTTGCTGGGATTTCCCTCCACTACCACCCTCTTTAATATGCCAGGCAATTTTGTCCTTCCCCATCTTCTACTTCAAAACTTGCACCCAAACCCCGCCCTTTCAGGAAACAGTGGAAGTTGTAAGTATCACCCACACAGTTTTCTCTTGGAGTACTGTTCGAAGTCATTCAAGATAGAACCTTGTCACCATTCACATTTCATTCATGTGTTCATTCAACCAGTCTGCATCTAGCACCTGCCCTGGTCAGATTGGACAGGGGAGTGGGGGAGGAGGGGACACAGAATTGAACAAAATACAGACCCTGCCCTCAAGACCAGGTCACACACACAAGGTCACCCCAAGGTAGAGAGCCCCAGAACCACAAGAGAGATACAGACTTGGTGCTCAGGGAGTACCAAGGTGGGAGGGTGGCAGGGTCACCAGCCAGGGTCAGGGAGACGGCACTTGAGCTGGGCTTGGAAGACCTAGAGAGGGCGGTTTGGTAGTTAGGGGAGTATGGTGGCAGGGGGCAAGACATGCAGCCTAAAGTCCCAAAACCAGAAGAGGGAGCCAGGAGAGAAGGTGACTGCTGGTTCCAGCCTTGCCCTTGAGGGATGCCTTGGATGGGCCTCCTGTCATGCCCAGCAGGCCCCAGGGCTGACCTTGCCACCCTCTCCCTCTCTGCAGACTGTGAAAGGGGGGTTTTCTGAGACGAGGATCGAGAAGCGAATCATCATCACTGGGGATGAAGATGTTGATCAAGACCAGGTATGGGGATGGGGGACATTGTTCCCAGTGGCTCTGCCCAGCGCCCAGTCCCTCCCATATTGGGTTACCCACGGGCAGCTGCCCTTGTGGGCAGAGATGATGTCCACTTCGGGCTGACCCTATTCAGACAAGAAACCCTAAAGGAATGGATGTAGAATGAGGGCCAGAAGGAGCCAGAAGACCTGAGCTCTGGTCTCTAACTATTCAACCACTGCCCTCCCTGAGCCTCCATTTCCATGACTGTACACTAAGGGGCTTGTTGATCTTCATGGTCTGTCTCGTATTCGATATCCTATGGTTCCTCACTTTGTTGCTCTTTTCTCCCAGGCCCTGGCATTGGCCATCAAGGAGGCCAAACTTCAGCATCCTGACATGCTGGTAACCAAAGCTGTCGTATACAGAGAAACAGACCCGTCCCCGGAGGAGAGGGACAGGAAGCCACAGGTAAGCCCTCTGAGGCTCCGCAGCCATGAGAGGGAGGAGGAAACAATGTCCAGATCTTCTGAGGGTCATTTCCATCTGAGAGCCCATCAGGTGGCTTGGTCCCTAACACAGCTTTCATCCCCCATGTTCCTGGTCTGTGGCTCAAAGGAGAGATGTGGCTCCCCCAAATACCACAAATCAGTGGGGGACAAGGGGGAGGAATACTGGTTCCTTGGTTTCTTGGGTGTTTCAGGCCCCAGACCCAGAAAAGTAAATCCAGAAGCAGTAAGAACAGGGAGATGGGGGTTGGTGGCAGGTACTGAGGTGGGACAGCTGGAAGCAAGCATAGCCTCACTGGCCATTACCTAGAAGTTTGAAGCCAGAAAAAGTCCCCTCAGGCCCAGTACCGCCTTCTTGTCCCTGAGTCTCTGCGTCCATCACAGGTCACTGGATGTTGCTAAGGGGGATATGATGACCAGAGTCCTCGATCCCATCTGTTTTGCTCGATTGCAAACCCTTGACTTCTCAGGCCACCTTGGGCCAGAAATTTACTTTTCTGTTTCCTTATGGGCGGACCTTCATCAGTGCCTTGCTGAACAAGAGAAATGTACTTTTCTGTTTCCTTATGGATGGACCTTCACCAGTGCCTTGCTGAACAAGAGGAAGGAGATGGGTACTGCAGCAGATAGGACTTTTATCAGCCTACATTGGGTTGGGGGGGGGGTTCAGGTCCCACTAGAAATCCACTGAATGTTATCAGACCCATAAAACAAAATCTCACAGACATTGAGTTGAGTGGTATGTAATATGATTCTATTCACAAGAAGTCCAGAAGTGATAAAAATCAGAATAGTGGTCAGTTCTGGGACTGACAGTTCTGGTATTGACAGAGAGGAGTCACAAGGGAATCTTTGGGGGTGCTAGAAATGTCAGCACCCTCTTCCCTGATGAATGAAACTGTGTTTTCTAGAAAAATACAAGAATGTGGATCACCACCCCCTTCATGTCAGAAGAAAAAGCACTGAAACATTTTCCTGCCACTTTGAAAGGCTGCCAAACCACGGTCTAGACTGTGCTGTCCAACAGAACTCTCTGCTATGATGGACATGTTTTCCTTGTACTATTCAACACACATGGCTGTGAGCACTTGAAATTGGCTAATCTGAGATCAGATGTGCTTTAAGGGTAAAATGCATGCAGGATTTTGAAGACTGAATGAGAAAAAAAGAATGCAGAATAGCTCAATAATGTTTATATTGATTGCCTGTTCAGATGATAATGTTTGGATATATTGGGTTAAGTAAAATATATTATGAAAATTAATTCCCCCTGTTCCTTTTCTTCTTTTTAGGGTACTTTAAAATTTAGAATTTTAATTTAGAAATTAAAAAATTTCTATCTAGAAGATTTTAGGAAACTAGAAATATCTAGAAAATTTAGAAACTATCGTCCAGAAAATTTTAAATTCCATTCAGGGCTCTCATTCTATTTCTGTTGGACAGCACTGCTCTAGAAGTGTAAGCTGGTCATGGGCGGAGCCTGCCTCCCAGCCTTCCTCAGACTTTCATGCAAATTGTCACTCTTATCCCCTCGGTTGTCCAATTATTCTTGCTCTTCATCCCCCACATCTCAGGGTGGTAGCGTAGGACACTTGCCACGCTGGTCCTGAGCTGACAGCGTCACCTGGGGAATACAGGTGCCAGAGAACTGTTGTCTCGGTGCCTGGGTGGCTCAGTCGGTTAAGGCGTCTGACTCTTGATCTCAGCTCAGGTCTTGATCTCAGGGTCGTGACTTCAAGCCCCATGTTGGGCTCCATGCTGGACATGGAGCCTGCTTAAAAAAGAAAGAAGAGAAGAGAAGAAGAGAAAAGAAAAAAAGAACTGTTGCCATAAAGTCTGATTTAGAAGGGCTGGACCAGACCTGGGAATCTTTATTTATACCCTGGTCTTTAGGAAGTCCATGAGTAGCCACTAATGCAAAGAATTCTGTGCTGGGAATCCGGAGACCTGGCTCCAATCCCAGCCATCCCCTCGTGGGCACTCACTTTCCTCACTTGCGAAATGAAGAGATGGGGCTAGCCCTTTCCCATCAGGGTCTTTTGCTGGTTTGTATGCTTTCCTAGAGTATCTGTCGTGCATTTCTCATACTTTTTCCTTTCCCTGTCTGTTCCTTCCCATCTTTCCCAGCGCCTTTCCA